CACCTATATAGCGTCAGTATGTATGATTTTCGAGCCCCATAATGCTAGGACGAACCAGTCTGCAACACTTGAGGTCGGCAACGTTAAGCTCATGTATGATTGGATGACGTTGTTGAACCAGTCGTGGCCCGAAAAGCGCCGTGAAAAGGGAAGAGGGACAGGGAGCCATTGATATACGTGTCCTTTAGACTCGACGGGGTCTTATATCGTGGCGAGGAAACTGGGAACACATACAATGATGGAGAACCACAATGGCGGCGCGCAGCTCGGGCCCGAGTCGTCAAAGGGCATGAAGGGCTGCAACGAAGCTCGCCCTTGAAGCACCAGTTATCAAATCAATAAGCTCAGCGTTCCCAATGAGGCACGAGTCTTGTTGGATAGTTCGACGCTTCATGACGCATGATGCATGGCGCTTCATGATGGTAGGAAACAAGGGACGCGGGTATCGACGAATTGGTGACTGTCGCGACCTGTCACGCTTGTCATCCGTCGACGCGTCGCGGCGCACCTCGCCATCGGCCACCACGACCCAGCATGGTCTCCAGTCTACTAGTCGAGTCACTCGCATCTCCGACTCAGGTCTTGAAGGATCTATACGATGCGCGCCAAAATGAGGGGTCCAGCCTCTCTGATTTCCCCAAGGCCGTGAGCACGCACTTTAGCGAAATATTCGCAAAGCCCGAGGCGTTCGCAGAGGTGCGCCCATGGATTCTGGGCTGATATGGGACTAATCATCAATCTTCAGATACCTGCACTCGATGTCTCCAAACCTCCCTCGAGCTTTCAACCGGGTGCTCTTGTGCGCTTTCGCGCAATGGTACAGGATACATCGGCTTCACCCGCGATGTACCTCGCGCAAACGCATTCGGGACACTGCGCGGGCTGGGGAATCGTACATCCAGAGGAGGAAGATGGCAAGGACATTGACTACTCCAATTTGCGAGACTGTACGGTTGTTTGGGCTGTTAGTGTACCGGGTGAGAGTGATTGGTATAAGGAAACGAGACACGGCGGAGGATCCGGCAGTATGTCTTCACCAAAATGTCGTGTGTACGAGGTCCAATGTCTGCTTTAGATGCGGACGGTGACTCTCCTGCCGTGAAGGGCCACAAGTATCCCCTACCGAAGCAGGCGCATGTCGGTGCGCAGATCAAGGTACGACTCGCATCTGCCAAAGGAAAACGCATCATTGAACGGTTCGACAGATGTACGACGCCTTCGGCAACAACGCACCCAAAACGGCCGACGTACTCGACTTTGTAGGCATCTTGCACTCAGAACTGTGGGTGGAGCCCGTGCTTCTTATGGCTATCGCTCATCCTGCAATGCAGATATCACTCCGAGTCGGAAGAGGAGTCCGCTAGTGACGTCCTTGTACCGACGCTACACGTTCTCTTCATGCGCCCGCATATACACGAAACCCCTTATCAAACAGCACCGTCATTCGATGCGATGCTGAGAGACGAGTTGATCGCCTGGATCGCGGAGGAGGCGTTGGGCGGAGACCGTGAAGCAGCGGAGTGGGTGTTATTGACTTCCATTGCACGAGTGTACGTGATCCATTCATCGTCTGTTGCCTCGAACAACTCGTTGACATCCAGTGTAGGCAATCGCGCACGCGTGGCCTCTTACCTCCATCGTTGACCCTCTCACGTTTCGGCGCAGCGCCAGATTCAACATCAATCCCGACACTTGTACACATTCTATCACATCTACACCCTTTACTTGCACATCTCCCACTGACTCTTGACTACCTCAACACAACGCCTTTCTCTCCTCACAGCGAAGCCGAGGATCTTCATGCCGGTGCATTGCAACTACCTGCTGGCTCTACGGTTCTTATCACGGAGGGCGGTGTGCGTGAAGGCAAGCTGCTTGAGCGTGGAGTTCGAAATATCATGGCGGCGCAGGAGGCGATCAATGCGCAGACTTTGGCGTATCAATTCCCGTTTAGCGATTTCTCGTTCCCTGTCGACCTGTCGTTCATCGTCGTGTCGGAAGGCACGAAGAGTGCCTTCGTGAGGGTGAGACGATGATCACCTGCTTCACTGCCCAGTAGACTGACTGAAGCTCAGACGGACCTGACCATCCCACTACAACCGACGAAAAAGGATGCGGACCTGTATCGTCCCGCTTCGGAGATCAAGCTACCGCCCAAAGAGAAGCTAGAGGCTTTTCGCCACCTGGTCACCGGTGCGAAGACGCGCAGCATTGAGCTTAAGGATGCCGTGGCGCAGGTCGTGCAGGATGATTTCGTCGAGGAACGCAAGGCGGACAAGAGTGTCTCGCCCGATGACCTCAAGAGGACCATCATGGTTGCCAGGTACGCCTCATTCGAATTTAACAAACCGTAGGTTAATACTTACGAGAAACGTAGGTTGGAGGGTTTGCTATTACACGAAGAGGAGCTTTCGATTGAGATATGGAAGCGAGCGAAGGAGTTGGAGAAGGCAAGGTTAGCTAGGTTGCGCGCCTAGACATCACTTTCGTACTATTCAGTACCGTTCGAGAAGTTGCCTTCTCGGCGAGACAGTCTTGTTGTTCAGCGAGGCAAACAATAGACACGGGCCAGAACCAATGCGTCGTGCTGTAGTAGACTCTGAACCCCCTACGGGAATAGCATCAGCGGGCACTGAGCTGTCAAGCCTCTGATGGCCGGCCCGAGGTGCAAGCACGCATCTTGCTCTTCTCTCGGGCCTCATAAACGCACGTGAGCGCGTTTTCTACCCCTGTTCCTTGCGCGCTGCCACGCACCGCACCGCAACCGACATTGCGCGCCTTCAAGTCCGCGATGAGCTCCAATCCGATGTACCTTCCTCTATCAGACCACAATCGTCCATTGTCCTCCCAATCGAGGCAGGCAATAGCAGCATGATGAAGAAGCTGCGCAAGCGCGCGTCTCGAAGCCCCGTCAAACCGCCTCGTGCCTCGAATCCAACCACTACCCTCGAGCGCGCAGATGCAGAGCCTTCGACCGACCGCGTACACCCATTCCCTACTTCATCGATACCGCTGGCGTCCTCGTCGACTTCCTCTGCCGCAGCGTTGATTACGCCGCCAAGTACACCTGGTCCGACCAGTATGACGGCCGCGAAGAGCCAGTACCGCAGCAGGACTATGACGCTCGCCATGGCGTCCGCCTCGCCAAATAATGCGATGGAGAAGACGCAGCCGGCGCTTCCTGGATATTTGCGACCGGCATCACCCGCAGAGCAGTATTGGGCCGCCCGAGCCTTGACGGCGGAGACATTATTGGCCGCGAAGACGGAGCACCAGCGAGAGCTCAAAGCCGCCGTATATTCCGAGGATGTGAAGCGAGTGGTGCGTTTGATGAGCATACTATACAACTGATTTCTGACTTGCAAACATTCAGCGAGACCTCGATGCGCTGCGGGAGCAGTACAACGCGCGGAACAGGCAGCTCGAACATATCCTAGTGCGTGAGCCTTACACCCTCTTGACGCTGATCCAGCTAAGCTGAGGCACGTCCGTCACAGATCGGGGCGGCAATACTGATTGCGGTGCTCATCGCCATCCTATCCTATCTCCTTTTGTCTCACGCACATACACCGAAACCTGCTCCGGCACGCTGGGCGTTGGCCTCACACATAACCATCCCTATACTATCCCCTTTCGCATCTGTGGTCCGTAAACCTTCGCTCATCTACCTCGGTGTTGTCTGATGTTCCCCGCAGATCGAGCATGAAACGTCGCATGGGTTCGGGACAAGGACTATCATCGCCTTGGCCGCTGTCGGTGCCTGTTTGTTGTACGCTATATGGTGGCATTGGTATGCGCGTGGTATGAAACGCAGGTAGCCGTTATAGCATCTTGCAAATACGGTGAAGAACGTATACACGCCGTCATCCATTTCGCGCCATATTCGGATAATATCCGATATACCGATCCCGATCGGCTTTTCAGTATGGTCGTCTGGAGTGCTTCGCGCCAGCATAAAAGTATGCGACTTCGATGTTGTCAACGATTTAGCATATCCCCGGCAGGTTATCGCCGCGTCTCTTGGCCGCTATCTGAGTCAAAATCCGACTTGTTTTGTATGGCTACCCCTGCGCACCAGTCAGCTCCCGGTCCCGACGCTACACGGTATTTCGTGCTCGCAGTTCTGACCGCTTACCAAGTTCCTGTATCGCGACACTGCGCCTCTCGGAATTCCGAGATCACTGTACAATATAAACGTTTGCTATACAACACACTGAAGACATCAAACACAGGTTATTCGTGCAGTTTACCACCCTCGCTGCGTTATCATGTCGAACACCAACGACGCTCTCCTCTTCAAGCCCTACAAGCTCGGTGATATTGGGACGCTAAAGCATCGTATTGTCCTCGCGCCACTCACTCGTCTTCGCAACGACGACGACTTCGCGCCGAAGGATATCGCCGTCAAGTACTACACTCAACGCGCGAGCGTCCCTGGCACGCTGCTCTTCGCTGAGGGGACTGTACCCGGACCTCAAGCACACGGCATAGCCGGCTCTCCTGGTATCTGGAGCGACAAGCAGATCGCGGCGTGGAAAAAGGTATGCTGGCATCAATTCATGCGTTGGCCTACATAATAGGTTGACGGCTCCACGTGTTTAGGTCACCGACGCCGTGCACGACAAAGGCTCTTTCATCGTCACTCAGCTTTGGTCAACCGGCACGCCAGCGGACGCAGCACTCCTGAAGCGTCTCGGTTACGACTATACGAACGTCTCGGCATGGCACTTTGACGATGTCCCTCCCGAGCAACTGCCGCGCGAGATGACCAAAGCGGAGATCAAGGAGTTCGTCGCTCTGTACGCAAAAGCGGCCAAAGACTCCGTTGAGCGCGCAGGCTTCGACGGTGTAGAGTTGCATCTGGGTAACGGGTATCTCATGGACGCGTGGCTGCAGACCAACTCGAATCATCGCACGGACGAGTACGGCGGGAGCGTCGAGAACAGGCTTCGATTCCCGCTCGAAGCGCTCAAGGTGATCGTAGACGCCGTTGGCCAGCGCAAGGTCGGGCTGAGGATCAGTCCGTGGGCGCGATTTCAGGGTGAGTCCGATAGTATCGTATGTTGATGCCGAGACGAGCGCTGACCGCCATACGGGAAACAGGCATGCGGATGCCGGACGCGGACATAGTCGAGACGTTCTCAACTCTTCTCACGCGTGTGCGCGATGCATACCCGCACCTCGCTTTCGTTCACGTCGTCATGCCACGCATCTTCGGCGCCAGCGACGATCCTGAGGCCGATACTGTTCACGCGCGCGACTCGGATGATTACTTGCGGGCGATCTGGAAGAGCGGGTCTCATGCAGATGAGAGGACGTACATCGCTGCGGGCGGCTTCAGTCGCGAGAGCGCGATCGAGCGCGCGCAAACTGGCGATCTTGTTGCGTTCGGGAGGGCATTCTTGGCAAACGTGAGTCTGACTTGTTCGGTATGGTGTAGAATGTTGGCGCTCATGAAGTCCGATGTGTAGCCGGATTTGCCGCGTAGGTTGGAGAACAACTGGCCGTTGAGGAAGGGTAGTCGCGAGACATACTACACAGGCGGCGAGCTGGGGTACACTGACTATCCTTCCTATGAAGAAGAGCAGAAGAGCGTCGAGACGAATATTGCATAGTCGTGGCATGACCATAGTTTCCCTGACACGGGATGTACGGCTGTGCCTATGCCAATGAGAACATCTTATCATATGTAAACTTCATCGAGACCTTCTTTGTGCCCATCGGGCACGCTCAATACAGCTTTCTCGCACGGAGCTCAGATCTCCGTTTTGCCGACTATCCGGATACGTATCCTCGTGCCCATACGTCGCACGAGTCGTGCGAAGGCACCTTCTGCATGGGACAGTTTCACTTTCATACATCCACATCGGGCTACACTGTGAGAAACATTTACATGCCATCTTCACCTCTTCACCAACTCGCGCAAATCGCTGACATAAGGTAAGAGACCATAGTGGTATAGAGGCAGATCTACGACAGGCTGCGAGCTCATCAATATCAGGTGACGCCATTCTTCGTCTGGTATGATACTGCGTATCAGTGAGTTCCCTTCATGTCAACAATTGCATGCACCGAAGTCTACAACGTTGATAAAGCCAGTCAGGCGCCAGCTGGTGAGTGATGCACCATATGGTTTGCGTCGCTTTCGCCACTGTATGATGAAAGGACGGTGGCCTCGGGCAGCGAGGGGCGAGGATAGGAAGGCGAGCGTAGTCATGTGTCTGTAGCTGCTGCCTCGGGCTGTGGAGTGCGTCATCGATACAGGTTCGGCCGGTTGCGTCGGTGTTGGAATCGCTGGAATCGTAGTCGCCACCAGAAGGTATAACAGAACTTCCCTGGCTATCTCTCCAGCAGAATCAAGGCCGCATAAATCGCGTCAAACGTTCGCAAGCAGACCGTGCTTTGCCTATCGTGCTTGGGTAGGCGCGGAGCTACTCGATTTGACCTCCGAGCGATGGCGTGTTTTCCTAAACAGGCTGCGCTCTACACCAGAAGCGATCCCAGCAAAGCGACGAAGTAGCCCAGTAAGACCTAGCTCGGCTTCGATGCTGATCCCAGATGGTAGCAGAGATAGAGCAAGCGCACGTTGAGCCGGCGCTCAGAGTAGCATGAGAAAAAGTGGCGGAGAGTCCGAAGAGAAAAGCTCAAGGAGATCACCGCGGGCATCGAAGCATGATAGGAGTCGGGTCGGTCCGGATGGCCGTGTGTGGCAAGTGAACTTTGCGATCCGTCTACTCCGACCCGTTCTCGACGTTGGAAGGCGCGAGGTGCAGCTAGTACGCTCGTGCAGCTGACAGCCCGCCACTTTTGTGCATTCTGCAGAGACAGCATACTTGGAGATGCCAGCCTGAAAGCCAGATCAAGAGCTGCGACCGGTGCGAGCAGAAATCCATTGTCGACGTGATAGCCGGGATGTAGGGCCAAAAGAAGCACCGACAAAAGAAGCGCCCGTGGCGGCGGATCTGCGGTAAACCTTGCCCCGCACATGGTGCAAGGCTGCTCAAGTCAGGCCCGTAGAAGCAGCTCTGGTGACTTTCGGACGAGTCTTCACACCGAGGACGGGCAAGATGGTGACGGCGGAGGAGAGGATAGAAGTTCCAACTTCCAAGCGCACATTTCTGGCGGAGAGGCGCGTGCCTGTTACGAAAGCCACCTGGCCAGTTCGCGAGGCCAGAGCCATCACTTCGCTTGCATGTCATATCCGCCCGCCATGCGAGGTAGAACCCCGCTACTCTGTTGTGACTTTCTTCCTGCCGCGACGACCGCCTCTTGCTTTGTCTCTACCACTGTCCGGGCATTTGCTTCGACAGTCAGAGCAAACATACAGACCTTCGTCTTCCGGTCCTAGTCTCCTTGGTGTTCCGTCCCGAACCCCTTGCGCGCCTATTCTCGGTGCACGCACTAGGAAAGGACCCACACAGAGCGCCTCGGTATGTATGTCGATCAAGTCCCTATATTTGTCTGAGGTAGACTGAAGTAGCCCCTTGCGGTCCTGCTCTAGTGACCTCTCGAGCCGGACAACAGTCCCTGTGTTGGCACGCCACCATCATCGAAGTCGTCACCGCCGTCCCTTTGTCCGTCCTCGAGGCAGCTCTCAAGTCTCTCTTTACCGGACCTGTCTCCTAACCGACGCCTTCTTTCTCGTCTCGCGGTCATCGTCTTGCTCGGTTCCCCAGAGGTCGCTCCCCAGTACCGACGCGGATCCTCGGGCCACACCTGCTCAAAGTACGTGATCTCGGCTTAACGCTCGTTATGTCCGAAGGCACTCATGTTCATCCATAGCTAAGCGAACACTGTCCCGAGAGAACTGGTTTTCCTCGCTGCAGACTCTTGCACACCAGTAGTTTCATTCTTCACGACTCAACTCGCTTTATCCTTGAGTAAGTCTATCAATATATGTCTAGGACTATGTGCTGATAAATGCTACAGCTCGACCTGTCCGCCTTCTAGTAAACCCATCTAATCATGCAGATTCGCATTTTACCCGATACCTCTCTTCCGGCTATCATCTACAGCTTCAGCCTTCCGAATCTCCCTCAGGAGCTTCAGACACCAGCAGCTTGGGAGTGCGAAAGGCAGCGAGTGGCCGCCGAGGACCTCGAACTCCCCCACTCTGTCTACGCATTTGACAAGGCAACATGGATGTCTTCCATCGTACACGAACTCACCTTCGATATGGCCACAATGACGATCTCTGTCTTGTTCGTGGACAGTCAGTTGCAACAGTGGCCCCTGCGCGATGCTAGCTGTGTGCGCACGCTGAAGAACATGCTTCTTGAAGTTCATGATGCCGCCAAGGAGGAGCGTGATCGCAAGATTGCTATGTCGCAGCCGCCGACCCCGACGCCCTCCATGACCACCTTCGAAGTACCGTCACCCAAGTCTGGGAAGCATAAGAAGCAACGCTCGCTGTTTCACTTCGTGGTTTCCCTCGTCACGCCCTCGACGCCTTCGTTCCCGGCTTTGCCTGAACCTCCACGGACGCCCTCGCTGCCCCTTTCCGATGTCGCCACAGAGTTGCTCCTGAACCACGCACCGCTTCGCCTCAAAGCTCGATCTGTTCTCGTCGATGCTTATCGTCGTCACGTTGCTTGTGAGCTTCGTCGGCGATTACCAGCCGCCGGCTATACTGCATGGGTCGCTCAGAGCATGCTGCGCTGCACGACGGACGAGATGACGCGTTTAGTCGAGTACATGGGAGGCGTCATACCGCCGCCGTCTTCGCATCGCGCCTTGGGAATGTCCATGACACGAAGGAGCGCGACGCATCTGTTCTATGACGAGGACGATCTGCCCGAGGAGTTGGATGGCATGTCACTGGCAGACTCGGTCAGCACAGACACTGATGGGTCATCGCTGCACACTCCGCTCTCGACGCCAGTTGGAACGGAAGTTCGCCGGCACACGTCCCAACAGCCATCATTATCGATGAACTCGGATGCGGACCGTTACCATGATCTCCAACAGCACGCGCTACATCTCCGTCAGGTGCTCGTACATGTGGAGGCTATGCACAATCACGAAGAGTTCGAAGCGCGCAACCTCCAAGCCGTTCTTGCCATCAGGGCCCGTAGACGCGCGTGGTCTAACCGTGCGCTTCTTGGTGGAGCGACGCACAGCGAACTCGGCTTCGCTATGCCGCGCACCTCTTCACCTCTCGCTCGCTGCGAGCCTGTGACCGCAGGCGAGTACAGCACGACCTGGTACGGGTCACTTCCCCGTCGCACCGTACAATTCGACACGACGGACCTGTTTCCTGTGGATGAGGTTGAGGAGGCGGATGCCCTTCAGTTCCCCGGCGACTGCGAGTCTGCACCCGCTGTCGCAGAAACGCCGCTCGTACGGCCACGCATCCGTGTACGCACCCACAGTAGCCATGTGCTGCCACCAACCTTTCCGTCGTCGCCCCGAGGCGCGCCACCCAAGGCCCCTGGCAAGGCGCTTGATCTTCAGCGCCTATTCGTTGATGAAGCGCCCTTCGGTTCTGGTGCAGGCGAGTTCACGCTCGCCATGGATGCACAGGACCACAGCCTACTCGACGACGATGACTGGTTACCCAGCATCGGGCCCTAGTCCTTCGTCCTGAACTTCCCGTCGGACTCGACCATCTCTTTCAGCATTAGCACATCTCGTTCCTGTCGTCCATCTGCATCTGCATCGCACATGTCTCGTTCTTGCTCAGCCTGCTTTTCCTTCTGCATAGTGCCTCGTCCATACCCCCTCGCTGCTCATTTTCGTCTGGACTGGACCCTCACGCACATCGTTCCACTCACATCCATGCTCAATCCTTTTCGCTCGCATTATGCATCGCACCTTTGCATCACGATACCGTAGTACGTACCAGTCTGCATACGTTGTACATATATCTCGGCCACTCACCTGTCCCGACCATTCACGCGCCTCTACCCTCTACACACCAGATCCCCATCTTGCGCTCTAATTATCCCCCTCCTGCTCGTCAGTTTTACGCCCCCGTCCGCACCTGCCACTAGGCTGCTCGATCATCGTCTAGCCTTATCCAAGCCTAGCATTCCCTGCTGGTACTGGTACATGTGCACCCTCGCTCTCTTGTACTTGATCACGCCAAACTCGTCATCTTGCCACAATGAGATTGTGATTACCCTCGTCATGCCGTGCTCGTCTGTAGGCTCAAGATTCAGTCGCTTGAGAGAGAGCACTGCACAGGTGCGTATAGCCACTCACCCCCCGGAAGCTCAGGGTGCCAGATATGGGTAGGTTACAGATAGTGCGGACGCGTTCAGATGTGAGGCGCTGCTCTACGACCTTCGAAGCCTTTATTTTAATCAACTTCAAGCTTTAAGGCGTGAATGTCACTACACAGACGGTCAAGATCCTACCTGTTCGCTTCTGGCACCAACGTATTCTGAGCACGGATCTCGCACCGGTGTGAGCCCCGTCGCTGCTTTCGTACCCACGCAAGTATAGTTTAGACTCGCTTTTCCAGTATGGCACGTGCCGGCAATAATTCACACGATGCCGCAAGCCAACTCTTCTTCCGTGACCTCCACGATTGCAGGCGTCCTCTCAACGAATTTATCGATGAACACTGCAAGCAGGTGTGCGCGTACAATGGCTGAAGCATACTGTGATCAACGCTTCGGAGGGCTGGTGCATGGACGACGACGTGAGGCAGCTGCAACCCTGGCCAGCGCGGGTGGAGCTCGTATTTCGCCACATTCCTCCTGCTGGTACAGGCATAGACGGCGCCATCTGAATGTCATCCTCTCTTGTCTCTGCTACTCATGTCGCGCCCCGCAATACATATTTTCATATGTCAAAACTCCAGTCCGTGAATGTTCGACCGCCAGCTTCTCCTCGTTCAGCTGTAGCAAGGAGCTCCATTGGAAGTCACCGTATACTCTATTTCGAGGCCCGATATCGGTGCCGTGTGCCTCGCTTTATTCCGTAACCGCTGTCCGCTCTGACATCCACTACTGGTTTGCCACCTTGCGATCCGTCAACAGTTTGCCCGGCGAGTGTCCCGATTACGACAAAAACCACAGACGGCGAGTCCGATGTACCCGCCTAGTACGTGGAGCCTGGCGACGACGGGCTGATCATCGAATACCGTGAGGGGCGATGGGGTTGCCTCAAGGCAGGGCCGTATACTTACTGTATGGGCTCACAGATAGGCTGTTGACAACGAGAACGCCGGTGTACACCGGCCCTGATAATAATGATCGAGGTACGTTGGTCTGACAAAGCCAGCTACAACGCCAACAGTAGTATTGACCTGGTCAGCGTAAGATGCCGCTCGGGAAACTGCTCGCCCAGAATGGCCACCGCGGGTCGGCGAGCTCGATCAAGTACTGTAAGTACCACCAACAGCTGTGGCGCTTGGCTGTGTAACGTCGTCCCGCGCCTTCCCCGGCCTTTTACCGGCACGTACGGCTTGGTCATCGATCGCGCCTCCTCCCGATGATCTGACTTTGTTTCCGTAGCATCGAGGTGCGCGTCGGTCTCCCACGCATCATCCACCTCCATACCCTCTTCACCATGCTCTCCGGATCCTGCTCTTCACGAGTCTTCTGTTGCCCGCACATTGCACGCATGAGCCGTCGCTGCCCAACAGTGCACAACGCTTGCTGTGCCCAGCGGATCAGTCACTTTTACGGCTGCGAGCAGACGAGATGCATATGCATAACCGTCATCTCCAATTCTGGCCCGCGCGATCGCATCGATGGCGGAGCACGACCCTCGCGCCATGTCCGACGACGCGAAAGATTTTGCACTGCGATGACGACGCCGCGTCTCTGCGAAAGACCTAGAGTCTCGAGCCTTGCCCATCGCTGTACCGTAGAGACCGTTGCATGGCCTGGGCGGCTACAGTCGGGCATCGGCCTGATATATGTGCACCCATACTGTTGCGTACAGCTGTTTCAGGCTGTATCTGTGCAACGGAGGCGACCTCGGCATGCTTATATATGTTTCTTTCATATCCGGTAACTCTGTGAAGCCCAGCCGCGATCATCGCTCTCCCCCGCCGGGCACGGCGCAGTTCAACGCGTCACCGTCAAGAAAGCTTCAAGCTCTGCCTTGGCTCTGCCCCTGCAAGGCTCCTTCCCCCCGCCTTCGCTAGCTTTCGCGCACAATGAAACTGCGCCACATCCGTAAAACTGCCGCAGCGCCTTCGGCGCTAGTTTGCGCCTGGATACAATTCTATACGCACCGGGAGAAGCCCGCGGGAGAGATCTAGGGGAAAGATATGGGGAACGTGCCACCCAGCAACAGCCAACTGGCGACGGATGTTTACGTCAACGGGTCGTGAAACGCGTACCTGGCATAGATCTGCTATATCATCGTGAAGCGCGCGGATAGCCGGATGGACCGCACAGACGTCCCCCGCCCAAGCGCAGCGGTACCGACGACGCACTTATATACCGGTCGGCTCGCTCCCGGTGTCTAGCTTTCCCTCCTCGCCATCGTCCTCCGCGCCGAGCGCTCCTCCGCAAACGACTCAGGCAGTCACTTCCCACGCTTAGGGTCAAAAAGTCCGACGGTCCCACTGAGCATGTTGACCTACACCTACGACGTCCCACCCCGCTGCGAAAGCCCAGCCTTCGTGCCAGCACCTCTACCTGTGCCCAAGCGGCCCCGCTCAGCGAGCAAACGCGCAAAGACTGCGCCCGCTTTACGCCCGCCGCCGGAAGACGACGTTCGCGATCCCATCCTGTAAGTGTCCTTGTTTCAGAATAGAGCTAATGTCCCCTTCACGCTCGCATCGTCCCACTTCGAGCAATGGATCTTGTATCGCTGACAGCTCTCCAGAACTCTATCACGACACGTCTACGTGAAGCCGCCAGTCCCGCCTACAGCCGCGCTCGCGTCGCTTCCATCGACAATCACCCTCACGCCATATACCAGCGCCTCAACGCCGAGCGCGACCCATGTTCTCGCCTTGCACGATGCAGAGTCGAAAGGAACCGCTGTACTAGTACCGATCAACGAGGCCGAACTCAAGCACAGTATCCGCGCCGTCATCGCCCTCCCGCCGTCGACGCCCACTGTTGCTCGCGGTGCACCCGTGAAAGTGCCCGTTGTACCATTCGCCGTTCCGCATGCAGAAACAGCGCCACTCCTCCTGATATTTGCAATGCGCGTACATCCTCGCGGGCCAAGGGTGCTCCTACCGGGCCTGGCAGGTGCCGCGGCCGAAATGCTTACGGACGTCGGCGCCGCGGCCCGTGTACTGGCCGGCTCTGTCGGTCTGGACGCGCAAGTGGCCGAGCACCAGGGCGCATGGCGTAATGCTCTCGCTCTCGGAGTCAAAGACGAGACCGTCGTGGAGGCGCTGCGCTTCGTATGGGAGGTGACCGTCGAGGCGCGGAGACTTGCAAAACGCGGCGGGACGCGTTAGGCTTTGAGCCGACGCCTACGCCGACGAGACTGATGACCCTTGCACGCATACACATGTCTTGACTTTCGACTTTATCTTTTACCCTAATCAAAAGTCTCTTCCACGCCCCCGCACGATCACAACCCACCTGCAATATACTTCATCTGTATCATCTTGCTCCGCCTGTTTTCTTGAAGCTTTAGCCCAAGTTTACTGTACCTATACCTCGCACGCTAATATCCCCTGCTAATTGCATACCTCATTGCCTTGCTTACTTACCTCTGTCTGACCTATCTGCAGCGTACACTACGCGCTAACCAGTGGCGAACGCACACGACGGACTTGCCTGCAACGTCGAACAAAAAGGATTCAACAAGCGCCCACAGCCTCGGCGATCTCCGTGCGCCACAAACCTCGCTTCGTTTATCCCGCATGGGCAAACCACCCTGCTCATTCCCGCTCGCCCTTTTCCTCTTTTCCCCTCATGTCATGATACGCGCATCTGCTCCGCTACTCTGCTTGGTCGCTTGTGCGCTGCTTTCGCGGTCCGTGCTCTTGCGCCTGCACTGCAGTCTTGCGAGGTACGTTGTGGTTCTCGCTGCTGCCGCAGAGTCGGTGTGCTCTCGGCCGTCAGCGCTCTAGCGCACGACTCTGCGACTCTACTTCTCGCCATACCTTGCCATTGGATCTACGTTGTCCACGAAGGCGCGCTCGGCATATCTCTCGCGGCGTAGACGACGCCATTCCCGACGCTAGCCTCTTGTGAAGTTGTCGCTGGTTTTTTTGCTATCTCTTCATTCTGGTTCAGCACATGCTCGGACGCCCCATCGTCGAGCGTGTAGATCCTCCCTTGCGACTGCCATTTTTTGCGCTTTCAGTTGCTCGCATACCGCTACTAGAGACGATTGCGCGTTCAGCGCGCTCTTCGATGGTCTTTGGCCGGCCAGGGGTCTGCAGAAGAGCGTCGAGTCGCTCTTTGTAGCATCACCGAGCGCGTCTGTGGTTGCGCATTCAATTTCGCTCCATGCCTCTAAACCATTATACTAACTCATCGCGGTTGCTTTCAAGACGTTCACACAGCGAAGGTAAAATTATCCAGCTCTTTTTCATTTCGTTGGAGTTTCTAATGTTTAGTACAACACCGAGCACCGAGAAGTAATGCGGTAATGTACAGTGATGGAGGCGCAATAATGGACAAAATAAGAGTAACTGATGCAATGCTGCAGGTCCGAGAACGAAAGCATAACGAAAGCGTACGATTGGGGTGAATGCTAGCGGGAAGTATGATGTTGTTGAGACGGCATATGGTAAGTATGGCATGATATGATTTGTTTTGGAGCATATATGGTGCGTGATTGGATGCATAGAGGTGGTGGACTGAATTATGCGGATGCGGGCTTAGGCGCGGGCGTAGGCTGGCTCATCGCGAGCGCGGACAGGATGATCTCCCAAGCGAGGTCCATCGTCGCCCAGAGCGCGTCGTCGAACACACCGATGAAGCAGACGTTGCGCCAGAAACCGGTGATGCAGCTCGCCATACGAAAAAGGACCTCCCGCGGTACCATCTGTGCGAGCGACGTCGCACCTGCGAGCATCCGCTCGCGAGGCGTCTCGCCGATAGGCGGTAACGCGCCGGCAGGGAACATCGACGCGAACAGCGCGTTGTGGTCCTTGGTGTACATGTATCGCAAGAGCGGGTTGAACATGTGTGGCGCCGGAAGCGCGAGCGACACGACCGGGACCTCCATGCGGCTGCCGGGCGTACGAGGCGCCGCAGGCGTGCCAGGGACAAGTACAGGCAAATGGGCAGCGTTGACCGCAAGGACCGAGCCGTGGACGGGGTAAAGCGTCACGTTGATGTTGTTGTCCAGTTGCGGCGGGCTGAGCTGGCGGTCGAGCGACCAGATGGCGAGGCAGTGCGATGGCATTTCGCCCTCGCAGTTGTTGACGACCAGGTCGACCTTCTGCGGCATGCCCTGGCGCCTCTCCGCGGCTCGAACTGCCATGCTGGTAAGCGTTCGCCACATTCTGGAAATATTTGTTAGTGACCATGCCCTTTGAAGTTCGAATAAATGAGCTAACTCACTGAGGGCCAACACTGCGTAGGATGTTGCGAGTGTAGTTCAAATTGACCCTCGGGTCTACGCCCTGCGCACGCAAGGCATTCGCCAGAGGGAACTTGGTGATCGGGTGGGCGAGATGGCGGGGCAGGTTGATGTTGCCGGAGGTGAACGGCGACGGGATCGTCTGCATGTCCACCTGCATGGGCGCGAACTCCGCGAATTGGCCGATGTGCGAGGCGCGTTCGACTGCAGCGGCGAGAATCTTGGCGGCTGTAGAGACTCGGCGCTTGGTGTCGTGCAGAGAGCGATGGGAGCCCGGGGTGCGAGCGGGCCGCTTGCGCTTCGTGTTGGGTGTGGTGGTGGCGGGAGCCGCGGGCTTGCGGTTTTCCACGTTCGAGATGGTGCGCGCACGGCGCTGGCGAGCGTTATAGGGTTGGAGGACCATTGTTGTTGTTCTGCTGAGTAGAGCGGCGAAGTAGGAGAAGCTGTGAGAGGCTGGTATGGCTCGGGGCTTGGAGAACCAGCCGTGCGCGCTTCAATCCTATATACCGCCATGCCATACGCAACTACACGTGCCAAAAACGGTGTTTGTCCCCATTGCGCATGTCTCACGCTTGTGGGTCCTTGACTCACGCTCAACAGTTTTGCTCACGCTTTGGCGCTTCACGTGTGCGCCCACGCTCTGTCGCCCTCGCAACATGCTTCGTACCCTTCGCCTTCAGTCGAACAATAGTCCTCCCTCTTTTCTGCGAGTCTGAACGTCGTTCTACGGGTCAGGGAGCACGAAGCGTCTCGGGTAGGTGCTTGTGTTGTGTGGTTCACCTGTCGTAACGTGGTTTGATGTGTGGTTGACAAGACTTGCCTCCGCCCTTTCTAGCTGCTATCGATAGCGGGGCCATTGCAGCGATGAAGACTTCTTATAATTGTTTTTCATTGTCAACCCGATGTGGTTGTGGTTACTTACGGGAGCGATCTAAAAAGAAGTCTCACAACCATACAACCATAAAGCGTGGTTATTGTCCGACTCTAAACCACTGGGTGCCCCGTGCTTCCATCGCACTCCCCCATGCTCGCCTGCTTCTTATAAGTACCGCTCACACTGAGGATGGTTAGCATCGATATGGGAGCCATTGTACCCGGTACGACGTGGTTGTTCGGTGAGCATAGCCAGCCGGCGCACCGGCGCGGCGTTAGCGGTCGCGCGGTCCGAGCCCATCAAAATCGCGATCACGCGACAAGACGCGCCTCGCGTCTGAAAGATCTTCGGCCAATTTTGTGTGGTTTGTAGAGCCTTTCGGAATCGTGTAAATCGATCGATGGAACTGCATATATAGCTGTACCATAAAGGATACAACACATGCGCCGCGAACCACCTTCACCCCATGATGACTGCGTCTTACACCAAGGGACGATCTCAATACAAGGCGTGGCCAAGTCGAACCCTGCATGCCGGTATTATTCTGCTTCTTCGACCCCGCCCTTGAGGCAGGTGCTTTGCCTTCGCCTGTAGATGAGAGATAAGTGGCTCGCCCGTACGTCAACCTGGAGGAGCCGTGCGTCTGCAGTTAGGGCCAGCGAAGGAGAAGATCAAGAGTCACAAGCCACGATGCCCGATGTAGAGCGGATCTCTATCCATGCACCCTTCGCAGTGAGCCACCCGTTATCCAACCACGCGATGTAACTCCATAAAGTCAGCATCAGATCGAGAGCGCGATACACGGCAGACCCCATCCCAACTACCTGAAGAGGCGAGTCTTTCCCGTCCTCGTAAGAACAAGAACTGGGAGAGATAACGGCTCCCCAGCTAGAAGAGGTGGGGTAGTAGTGACGCTACTCCGTTTCAGATTATGGCACGATACAAAAAGTAGGTTAGCAGGGGCACCGCCGAGCCCGTGTGATGGCGAACACGCGCGAACACGAAGTCGATGAGAAAAGTAGTACTTTTCGCGTGAGCTCCATATGCAGGACACATGTGATAGATACACGACCAATAGACCAGGACGGTGTTCATGAGAACGCAGTCCCAGGCATGATGAAAATGCAGCGATGCTTCTATCAGGCCTCGCACGAAGGCAGATGTTCATAAAGCGGCGCTCTATGACGCGTAGTCGGCGTGTGGCAAGCGCTCGTGGAACAGATTGCCTATGCAGATAGGCCGCACTACCCACGGCTCAAAAGGGAATACAATGCCCTCGGGGGAACTGAATTGAGATTTAGATCGGGGGCGTACCACTAAGATCGGACACCTCGCCGAGCGCTATCACCTGCTGCGAGGCAGTGCATAGGCCGGTAAATAAAGAGGATCGACAGAGAGAGAGAGAAGGAGAAAAATGTAGAGGCGGTTCAGGATCGCGCGTCTCGAGGAAGCGGGAGATGCTGTCGTATCTGGCTTCCTCGCACCCGGGCCTTTTGTACGAAAAGTTCGAGCTTACACGTGTATGCCAGGCCTGCGACTGGCTGTTGCATTCGACGGAAAGAGGACAAACGCATTGGACCAGACATTCCCCCGTGTTGTTCATTTTAGCACTTTCGACGTGTCTAGACAAGTTCCGCTGTCAACCCGCGTCGATATGATAAACGAGGATTGGAGTCGCGGCGCTGTACGCGGGCATATTCAGCGCGCACGGGCAACACACGGGCGCAGATGAGAGCCAGGGCGTCACTTTCTCGAAGTCCTATCGACCGACGCAGAAAATTTTTCCTAGCAGAAGGCGCTGCGCTATCCGCCGCCCAGACGCTCGACGTCCTAACGAAGGACTTCGCAGAATAGGAAGACGGGCTCGTGGTGGCTGGTGTTAAGCTGGGATTAGAGCCTGACGCGTGAAATCAGACGAAAGGGACATAACGGGAATCATTGCAAGCGGCACGCCCCCTGCCGCCTTGTGCTGCACACCGCTAGCGTAACATCTCGACGTTCTGTTCGGCTTGCTCTGTCTCACTCACATGTCACTGCACTGGGAAGCTCAAGGCATTCCATGCCGTAGATGAATTACCTGGCCGCCGACAAATGCGCGGTATAGAACATGTCGCGCAATCTTCTGCTCGATACCGAGCGCGAGAGGTAACGAGATAGACTGGAGTAGCTGGATAGGAAGGTGGTGCCGTGGTGGTCAATGAATAGAATAGAGTCTGCGACGATTAATTGCGATGAGGAGCCTGTATCGGTCGATCGCCGGCGACTCTAACTTTCATTCACTCCCTCTCTCCTTCAAGCTTCATAGACAAGTCATCGACAGAGTCATGGCCAGACCCACTGCGGTCCACAGTGACGTACGCAGATGCTGGAGATAGCAGTCGGCCTTGGCGAGGGAGAGGCGGCACAGCAGACTCTGCGCCGTACCGTTTGAAACCCGGAAACACGTAGGTTGACAACCTTACGAATTTGTTGACAAGTTGAACTTGAACTTTGATCAGTCAGTGTTCAACGGAGTCTGTATATTTAGCCTGTGTAGCTGCGGCTACTGAAATGATGGACAAGAGATAATCACGGCCATACCAGGGCCGGGTACGATCATGCATACGTCAACACGCCTTGTCCCAAACCATCGACAAGGACAAGACGCGCGCCCTTTAGCACGCGTATCTTCTCTACTGGCCCTGCTTCCCTTTCCGAAGGTCCTCCGTCATCAGTTCCGCCGCCACCATGCTCCCCTCCTGCACTCAATGCGCCAGGCCTAGGCTCGTACTGCCAAATATACAGTAGCTCCTGTACGATTGGCGCACGCCACGCGTCGCAGTATACCGCGATATGGTCAATCTCGTCCAGTGCTTGCCGCATCGCTCCCGCATGTCCCGCGTCAGGCTCCAATGGCGAGCCCTCGTTCGCCTGTCCACCCCCAACCCTGTCGTGAAGACCCTCTGGTGACAGCGGCGCACACATCCCCGGTCTTGGCCGCCTTACACCGCGAAACGAGAGCGTCGCTGTCCCCAGGCTCGTACCCTTCCGGCGCACAGCATCCCTGAGATATGACCACAGTTCGCGCACAGCGTCGGGGGACCACGTCACGCTCTCGCCGTCCGTGTCGTATGCCGGCACCACCTGTTCAGTGCCGACTTCGCCCCTCGTCTTGGGATTGTCGATACCAACATCCTCCCAGCTTCCCGTGAGCTGTCCACGCGTACAGCCACTCCACGGCAATCTACCGCGAAGCGGTACGATCCACTTTAAGCTCTGCCGACTGTCAGGAGATAGAAGTGTGGCGATGGTCTCTTCTGTATAGGGTCTAATGGGGGTGTAAGGACGGTTGAAGTGTTTGAGCGCGGCACGATCTGCGCCGTGCGAGGATGTGACGTCTCTTGGTCGAGGTCCAGCGATGTAGTGCGGCTGCGGCGTGAGTCAGACATGAGAAGCAATGAAGGAGGAGGCAAAGTGCAGGGACTGGGTGCGTACCATTGGTAGGAGGCCAAGTAAGGTGTCGGTTTCGTTGAGCTTAACGCGCTTCACAGGACGCTTGTCAGGGAGAGTTGAGGGCGAGCGGACCCGTCGCCGTAGTAGAACACCAGTTTCGGCTGCAACGGCAGCGACGCAAGCGGTAGCGCTCTTCAACGCCGATATCACTGTGCCCATGTCTGTGCTGTGGAATGGCTCGAGTTCGCGTAGACGAAAGACTTCGGACGGCGACAACGGCTCGTTCCATTCCTTAAGTACGGTAGCCTTTGTAGAGCGAGAGAATGACAACGGGGCCGGTGGCGGCGGAGCGTAGGCAACACATCGTTTTGCTTCGACTAGTCTTTCAAGACTCGTGAGCCCTTTCATCGAGTGAGGACCTGAGAGTATGAATGACCTTACGCGCGAAAGAGGAAATATTGCGTCTGAAGGGGAGTGGCGCGTGCCACTGGTCATAGTCTATCAACGCGCGCGCTTGGCTCAGCACTACAGCGTCGTCTTGCGGGCTTTCGGGCTGCGTCTCATGTGAAGCGAGCGCGTGTAGAACGTGTACTGTTAGAGCGTTTGACATAGTGGTGGTGGCGGTTGTGAGTGAGTTGGTATCCAAGGTGAGACCCAGCGCAACACGGTTCAAGTCATTTGAGCGTGTGGCGTCGTCCACCGAATCAAACTTGGCTTCTGACATCATGCATCACCAACGATGAGCTCGCTATGGGCCTGGCTCGCGCTCCGCACAAACTTTGCTCTTACTCTCACTTGCGAAGTGGACTCGTAGTGTCCCGTCAAGACTCTGGAGACTAGGCTTGCAATATGTCTGGACCGAAAGAAATTGTGATCGTAGGCGCTGGCATCATCGGCTCAACTACGGCTTTCTATCTCGCACGCCATTCTGCCTTAAACGGTGCGCGGATCACCATCCTCGAGGCTTCCAAATCTGGAGCGGCGCAGGGCGCATCAGGCAAAGCAGGAGGTCTGGTTGCCAAATGGGCCTACCCGTCCGCTCTCACGGGCGTCTCGTTCAAGGAGCACGTCGCTCTCGCCGAAGAGTTTGACGGTGCCAAGCGTTGGGGCTGGCGCTGGACGGGCGTCGGATCCGTGGACTGCCGCGGTGCTCCGGGCAGCGATCAGCGAGTGGGCGAAGGTCCGGGCCAGAAGGTAACTCTCGCGAAGCGCGACGGGCTTCGTGATGGGCTCAAGGCGGGCAAGGCGGCGCGCGCCAAAGGCATGCCCGACGATCTTACTTGGGTCAACGCCGATCTTACGGATGGGTACGAAGAGATGGCGCCTAAGGGACATACAGCTCAGGTCGGTTCATGCATTCGCCAGTGTTTACAGTCGAGATACTGAATGTGATACATCTAGGTCCACCCTTACTTGTTTACCACAAGCATACTGTCTCTCGCAGTTGAACGCGGGGTGCAGTTCGTTCGCGGTCGTGTGAACACCATCGACCGCGCCAACGGTCGGATAACTGGGGTGCATTATGTGGACGTCGAGACCGGAGCCGAGCACGCACTCACGGCAGACACGGTGATCCTTACCGCAGGGGCGTGGTCGCCAACGCTCCTGCCCGAGTTGCCCATAGTAGGGCAACGCGCGCACTCCATCGTCTTGCGTCCGCCGCCCGATACGCCTCGAGATGCTGTCGCCCCCTACGTCCTGTTTGCGAACATCCAGCTTCCTGGATCGCGCAGCGCCGTCTCGCCAGAGATCTATCCTCGTGGGGACCCCGACCCAGAAATCTACGTATGCGGCCCAGGAGACACGCGAGCACCGCTACCGCCAACAGTTGATGAAGTCGAAGTGGACAAACGCGCGTGCGAAGAGATCTACCAGTGGGTCGCTCAAACAGGCGTGATTGAACCATGGGCCATCGACAAGGTATTCGCGCAGCAAGCCTGCTACCTCCCGAATGTTCAGGGTCCGGGGGGACCAATCATCGGGAAGGCACCTGGCGCCGAAAATCTCTTCATTGCTACGGGCCATACCTGTTGGGTCAGTCATACACGTTGCATACAACTAGCGTGAACTTACCGAAGATCTATAGGGTATTTGCAATGCGCCTGGTACGGCCAAGGCGGTTGCTGAGCTTGTTCTCGAGGGAGCGATCAAGTGTGCGAACCTCGCGGCGCTCGATCCCAAGAACTACATGTAACATATAGGAGGTATTCTAAGATCTATGAAGCAACCCATCGTAGCAGTAGATTGCACCTGCGGAAAGCAATGCATGGCCCTCACGCCGATACTACTACTACGGCCCGGGACGCAGGCCATACCTTGAACATCTACGAAGAAGCCTGAGAGCTCACGGGAAGCTCATGATGCGCGTGCACTACCCGCTGCTAGCGCGCAGCCAGGCCCCAGGATACTCATTTGGCGCTTGTCATCTGAGCTTACCGGCTGACTTGGTCCAGTAAAGGAGCTATCTAGCCTCCCCCGATACTCGTTCAATCACTGCTGGTCTGACCATGCTTGAATCGAAGCGATAGCGCACGCGCCGGCTGGCTGCCGTACCTTGCACTCGCTACGGTGGCTTCAAGTCTGTCGCAATCTAAGGGCGCACAGTTGTACGTTCCTTTCGATCGTGTACCGCGAACCGCGTGGTTACTGACTGTACACATTCTCAGAGCCCGGCAACAACTTTCATACGTCCATTTTCCCGGCTATGCGCAATCCAGAACACTTATCGCTTCATACACCGGCAACTTCGTCAGGAGGTCGCCCTGTCCGATTCTATGTGCGCAGTCAAACGCCTCTCGTCGATCACTGGAAGCTATCTCGCCTCTTGACCGTCTGACTGAGACTCGACGGCTTAGGGGGTCAATACACGGCGGACGCTGACTATCGCCACCATGCAGTTCAGACGTGCCGATGCCTTGCGTGAGCTATCGCGTACTCACCGCTCTCCCACCCCTACTCGCGGCCTCGACCACCGGTCGACCGACAACACGGCAATATGTCTACCCGTACGAAGCGGATTCCGCATCTATGTGCGCCGCTAGCCACCATGGGACCTCCAACTCCATCACCCCACCCCACTTCCTGTGCGCGACGGAATTGGATTCCCAGTTGTTTGTTTGAGCCCACTGTGCGAGAGAGGCGGACTGTATCTGCTAGCACGCTGTTCGCTCGAAGAAGCAGCGAATGAAACAAACATGGCCGGCACGCACGCAGCTTGTACGTATGATGACACGGTGAAGTCGTTGCTCGCCTTCATTACCGTGGGTTAAACCTAAAGCAAGCTGTAGGCAGCTCTAAGTGAGCTCCAGCTTAGCTTTCACTTGCCGTAGGTTTCGATTGAGGTTGAATGCTAGACGCTGCATCTCGTACGATCACTGCGTGGCGCCCGCCCGCCCGAGCTTCTTCCCTTCAGTCTTCCGCCTTGCCCAACTTGTTTTGGCACCGCCTTGGGCGCGTGCGCTGACCACGGAGAACATTCGACCGGAGCCTGGAACGTGGATGCATCAATCGTGAATCTGTTGCAAACAACTGGGTTTGTACAACGCACATCCCTGACGCTCTACTCGAAGATGCGAAGAAACGAACCACAGAAGACTTCGAATTCGGAATGACCTACCGGTTACTTCACACCGGACGTTTTCGTTATCAGTGCTTTAGCGTCGACACCAATACACTCTGTCATTGCAGGCGGTCGTTTCTCTCATGCTAATCGAGCCTGCAAGCCTTGAAGGACAGCGACGTGATGATGCCGCGCATGACTTGTACATTGGCACCTACCCCGGATTTTACTCCCAGAAAAACCTGACGACACATGCAGCAACAAGTCGTCCCACAGCAACAAACAATCATTCGAGAATAGCTCTGGGTCTTCCTCAGCGCCGCATTCGTATGATCGTCGGGCGAAACGTGGCAAGCGCATGCCCACCCTCTCCTGAATCGTACACGTATGGATTATGTTCGCCCTTTTGGATGCCCGCCTGGAACCTTGTCCAGCTGGACGCTGCGCAGGCGCAATGGGGTGCTAGGAACTGTACGAAGTTCCACTGGCTTGTGGTGCGTATCGGCGGGGCTTGAAGCGCTCGGTCCAAGTTGGTCGGAGGGCAAGCACTGACGGAAATTAGGAAGTCAATCGCAATGTTAGAGCACAACACGGAACTCGAGCTCAAGCGACGCGTCGATCTTCGCCACGCTGCATCCATACAGGAGAAGAGAGGCCTGTCGACAAACAGCGACCACCGGAACCTGCCGGCGGCTTGGAAGAGCGGTCCAGGCCGCGCGTAATGGGCGACCCCGCATCAGAGACGGCATCCAACACGAGGCGCGCCTTCTCCTCCCTGACCGAAGCGCGCTCGTCTCTCGTGGTCGAGACCGCGCTAGCAGAACGCTTATATACGGGGCGACAATGGCCAAGTCTTCCCTCGACAACCCCGTCCCGTTCAGCCTCTGCACGTTTACGACTACGACCCACGAACAATGGCCACTTTCGCTACTAACATGCCGCTCTCCCACGAGGACCAGTACATCCTCGCATCCATCCTGCCTCCTATGACTAGCAAAGTTGTCGCCGCAGCACCCGCTCGACTTTACCAGGCTGCATTCGCCGCACCCAACGCTTGGTCTTCTACTGGCCGCAAGGGCGTTCTCGTCTTTGGCTACGACTCAACAGCGCGTTCGCGCTCTGCTGCTACCTCTGCGAAGCGAGTACACTGGCTTCGCCTCGTCGATCTCCGACGCGGCTCTGTGCTCTGGGAGCACGAGCTGCGCGACATTGCGGAGTACGAAGCGGACAAGCCGTTCTTCCACGTCCTTACCAGCACCGTGAGTTGCTTACCTCCGTTCGCACGAGGGCTGGGTTGCTGATCATGTTGTAGGCCTGCATGTTCGGCTTCCGTTTTGAGGAAGACGAAGATGCCGCCGCCTTCTTCGCTCAAGTTACGCACCGTGTTGGGGAGATCCGTAAGTGCAATCAACATCTGTTCGGCTAATTGATACTTACGACCGCACACAGCCACAAAGAAGAGGCCCACACCATCTCGCGCATCCTCTTCTTCGAGCGTGCCCACCGTTTCAAAGCCCGCCAGCAGCAAGTCGCCCTCGCCGCTTCCGGAACTTAGTCTCGACGACGGAACGGCCGAGTGGGGCAAGCTTGTCTCACGGCTCGAGAACTACGGTATCGAGGCGGAGCTCGTCGAGGAGAACATCGAGTTCGTGAAGGGCTTCCTCGCGGGCGCCGAAGTCGTGCGTGAGACCGTCGCGCACTCTTCATCCCGAAGCTCCGCATCCGGCTCGCCTAAGAGCACTACGCAACCTTCGCTGAAGGGCTCCGTGCAATCCTCGCCCCAAACTACCTACTCGCCTGCGCCTTATTCGCGTGGAAGCTCTCAGTCTTCTAGCCTGGAGTCACTTGACGACTACTACAGCCATGAACGGGGCGCTTCGCGAGGTAAGCTCGATCGTCATACCCTGGACCATGGCTCCCATACTGATCAAATGAAGCAGACTACTACCGTCACGCTCCTACCACGACTACATCCAGCAGGCGCCCTGCCATGCCAAAGCGAGCTCACTCCGACTACTACCGCCACTGAAGCGTTTTAACATCTACGACACCCACACAAAAAATCGTCGCATTCGCATCCCCGCTTTCTCGATAGCTTTGCACCTGCTTTCTCCTGCCATTCGGACTAAAACCCATGTCATGCTCATGTTCATCGTGTTCACGCTTTCCTCTGTTTCATCTGGGCTCTTTCGTATCTTCATCTCACGTATTCGTCGCTTTCATGGACTGTTGGTCGTTCCATCTGCTTATTTGTATTACCCTATCGTGTACACCTAGCGCATCTTAACCCTGTAACAACACCCATGTAACACTCTAGTATCCGGCATCATAGTACCTAGTCCATACCAATCACATATATGGGGCGCGCGCGTGCCCTGCTTCTTCATATACGTCGAGCGCTGCGTAGCAGTTTAGGGCAAGACCGGCTGCTGTTCCAGAGCCCGGTAGCAAAAGAGCAACACCTACCGGATTGAGAATTCATCATGTCGAGAACGGTCTACCGCTGAGGTCACCAAGAGGTCACCGTGGGGCGATGGTTCGACGCGGACCCGATGCGAACGCCGCACGCGTTGCGCTCGGCTCTTACCATAACGTCCATCATCGTCTCGCGCGTAACAGCAACGCGACTCGCACGCGTCTTGTGCATTCTGGTGTACGTGCTCACTTTTCTGGTGATAGCTGGGGCTGATACTCATGTTGATGTAGCTGTCATAATGGATGAACTGGACGTCAAGATTCGCGTCCTTGAGGTCCGACTAGTGGAGCTGAACCGAGAGCGTAACGCGCGCATGCCCATTGCTGTCCTACCCGACGAGATACTGCACACCATCTTCACTTATTTCCCTCCAATACTCCCTCTGCCCGAGGGTTATGAACGGAACAGCTTCAGCGTCACTCGCCCGCCTACATGGTTCGCCATCACCCATACTTGCCACCGGTGGCGCACGATATCGTGTTCGTCGCCTTTGCTGTGGAGCAATGTCACCTTCGGTAACTTCTGGTTCGGCTGGATGTTCTTACAACGCTCGTATCCCGCTCCCGTTGACATTGCACTACGTCCTCGCGATTTGAATGGACACAAGTGGAACGCGCAAGCTGCACTGAATCAGTTCACTCGAGCGAGGTCATTGAAGATCGTCGACTCTCTCAGCTCATTCACTGGCGCGGAGAAGATCATTACATCTATGTTTTCATGCGAAGCTCCTCTTCTGGAGAACCTCCACGTTCAGACGAAGCAGTACACTTGGGCGCGCGGTGAACGTGAACCTGACTATCTTGATCTTCGTACAACGGCGTTCTTCCGCGGAAAACATCCTGCTCTATCGTCATTGACGCTGAAGCATGTCCATGTCGATTGGAATACGACATTGCTTAGCAGCCGCTTGACGTACCTATCTATACAAGACGTCGCTCCTGATCAACGGCCGTCAATGAATGTACTATTAGGCATACTCGCGGGTCTACCGGAGCTTCGCCAGCTTGACCTGATACGCTGTTTACCGGCTATCAGCGAGGCGACTGCTCCTACCGTGCCATCTGAGAGCCGGCTCAAACTCCAGTATCTCTGGAGACTACGTCTTCACTCGAATAGTCCCATCGAACTCGACCACCTGACCGCGCACATCCTCATTCCGCTCTCTGCTCAGTATCTCATCAGTTGCGAGGATATCCCCCTGGATGTCCTGCCGCTTCAGCCCGATGTCGTCCAGAACCTCTCGCGCTGCATACTACATCACGTCGTACGCGACGGCGATAATGACCGCGACTTGGACGCTTTCCATTACATGCGACTTGCAGGCCCTGAGCACACCAGTCGCATGCAACGCTCATCCTTTTGTTGGAGTCCACGGTCGGATGCGATCTGGGAAACACCAAGGCGCGAAGAGTGGCCGCCGCTGGCTGATCTCAACGACGTAGGCCGTGACCCGGTGCCACGCGTCCAGGTGAATCTGATTTGGTCAGATCGCGGAATCGGTGAAGACGACGTCATGGCTCGTACACGGTCCATCAGTTTGGTCACGAATGCCCTCCATACTGCCATCATCCTCACCATCTCTGCGTCGCTGTCGGCGGTACGACACGTCTTATTCAGCGGCGTCATTGCCCCTGTCGCTTTCTCCTTTTCTGCAGGCCTACCTCGCGCACGCAACGTCGAGTCGCTGACGGTGTGCGGTATCAGCGCTCTACGCACCTTCTGCATCATCAATGGTCCTGCCCAAGACTTCACCAAGGAACCACGCTCGACCTTCCCCAGACTCAATCGCATCGTCGTGCGCGACGCGCATCTAGACGATCACTTCGTGAACTCGCCCGAGTTCACATTGGAGTACTATCTGAAGAGAATACTTCGCGAGCGGTTGGAAGCAGGCGACGAGGGTGAACCTGCATATCGTGTTGAACATCTACAATTCAAGGAGTGCAGCGGCATATGGGGCAGGGCAGATCTACAACCCCTCGCGGAGCTTGTTAAGAATGTCGAATGGGACAAGTTGATCATTAACGAAGAGCCGACGAGCGACGTATTGTAGGGCACTGAATGCTCGTACAACAGTGCTCGTGTAGCATGCACCACTTATTGTAAGACGTTCATCGTGCAGTCAGCGCTACCCATCTTGAATACCCTGCGTCCTTACCTATCTCATGAATTTATTGATGTGTCGTTCTTTCCGTGTGTTGACGTTGCATTGTGCCCATGGGTCTAGTGTTGAATGGAGGACCACGCTCCTTCGTGCCCTGCTCGTAGCGAGCGAAGGCTTCCAGACTCGACGTTACCCCAGTCCATCTATGGACCCACATGATAGCACAAGAACACGTGCCTTGTGGTTCGAGTTGAGGAACGCGACGCGCTCGTGGCAATCCTGGGCCATCCTTCCCTCTTGCCGTCATCCCCTCACACGAGTCACAATCCTATCAGCAGATGCACTAGTCCATCTTCGACATGTCAGAAACAACACAGATCCTCTTCAACTCCCCTGCGCTACACTCGCTCAAGCGCGAGCAACTGGTGAAACTTGCCAAGATCCACTCCCTGAAGGCGAATGGCAAGAACGTAGAGATCATCGAACGTCTCAAGGCACACGCCCTCACACTTCCGACGAGCGACCCCTTGAGCATTGCCACTCGCAGCGAAGATCCTCGCTATGGCGACGTAGGCTCCGATGATGTTGACATGGAGCCGCCCTCACCGTCGTCGACCTTCACCCATTCCAACATGCCCAGGCCCAGTGAACAGTGGGAGGTCGTCATGGACGACATTCAGGAGGCTGAGGAGAAAGACTCGCCGCCAGGCACAATGAACTCGCAGCGAACGGTGACGGGGGCGGCGGGCGAATTCGGTACAGCGACAAGCAAATGTGAGATTGACCCAAGTTCAATACTATGATGCCCACTGAACCATCCTACAGCTTCTAGTATCGGCTCATCATTGAAGACTCTTGCTTCGTCTCTGGGGCTGAAACGCGCCATGTCCGATAAGAACACTGGATCCCTCGGCGCCACATCCTCCAAATCACCTCTCCCTCCTGTTGACGACGAGGAGTTGACGAAACACTCCACACGCTATTCTCGCCTACCCGAACCGCGCCCTTCGGATGCGCCTTTGACGGACCACTTCAAGTTCTCTACGCCGGACGCCAGCTTCGGTGATGAGCCGTTGCCTGGAGACGAAGCTCGCCCAGGGAAATTGGCACCTGCCGACTCTCGCCTCAGTCTTGGTACGAGCGCCACCCCAGGACCTACCACAACTATCCGTCTAGTCTCTGCGGCACCCTCTCGCACTACGAACTGGGCCGTAACGGACACGCCGCAGCTCAAACCCTTTGCAACTTCTTTTGACCTTGTCATGGGTAGCCCGGATAAGGACAACAGGGTGCCCGTGTGGCCTTTGACTCCTGGTGGCGCCAAGACTACGTCGCTTTATCCTACTCTCCCTGCCGAAGACCTAGCGGACGCTCGCGCTCATGCCGCCGTCGCTACTCCGGATAGGTCCATAGCCAGCATCTCCCATACGCCGGCGAGCCAGGTCCGCCCTCGCAACGATGTTGACGACCTCTTCTCGCCTACGAAGTTAAAGCCACCGGCAGCTGAACCAGCTTTCGTCTTTGGGTCGCCGATGCCACAGAAGAATGAAGTGACGAACAAGGCATTCGGTTCTGCCGCGGAAGCCGTGCTGTCCGAAATGAACCGTCGCTTATCGGAGGCGGGCGCAGCAGGCGCAAAGCTCGACCCCAAGTTCCTCGAGAACCGACCTCGCTTCGACTCGACGGCCACGACAAGCTCCGCTGCGTCTGCGGATAAGTCGGCAGATAGGTTTGCGAGGGCGCATCAGGACCAGTTCGCTAAGATGGACTCCATTGCGAACCATTATGCCGCACGCCGCCCGGCGCCCGCGACTCGTCCGTCCGCAGGCATCAAGCGCAAGTCAGATGCTGCGGGTCTCGGCGCTGGCCCGAGTAGCAAGCGGCCTAGCGCGGGTACTCGTGTCGTCAGTGGCCGTCGCCGTGCGCCAATACCTGGTGGCTTTGGTGACGAGGATGACGATGATGATGAAGGGGATGTAGAGAAGGAGCAAGACCGTCGCGCGAGCAAACGCATCCGTGTCGAGGAGAACGATGGCGAGCTTCGTGCGGGCAAACGCCCTTCAATCGCACCGTCTGCAAAGCAAGAGAAGGAGCGTGAAGCTACCCGCCGTGCTCTCGAAGCGAAGAAGGAACGTCGCCGAAGCAGTATGCGGACACCGCGCGTCAGCGTCACCGCAGCCCAAGCGCAGAGCACGTATACTCATTGTAACGAAAGTGTTTATACTGACCAAGTTCCTCAGAGAATAAATCGCGTTTTGGTTTCCTGTCCTCCGCGAAGACGGTCGTACGCAGTCTTTGGGGCTCATCGAAGCCGGCGGCCTCAAGCATCCCGAAGACGGCACCCGCCCCTCCGAAGCCCGTACATTCTCTTGGCAAGGTCATCCCCGAATCTGTGAGGGAGAATGCGAAGGCGAAGGCTGTCGAGGAGAAGCCGCAACCACAAGCTCCATCACAGAAGAATGGCTCGCTCTCCTCAGCTCGCGGCTTGTTCAAGCCTGTCAGCAGGACGCGCGCGGCAGAACTATCTCAGAAGGCGGCTCCACCTCCCACATCATCTATTGCTAGTCGCAAGAGCGTCGCCCCCTCCGGTCACACTCGTACTGCTAGCATAAGTAGCGTTGCCAGCACCGCCACTGCACGCCCTGCCGCAGGCTCCGGGCATCAGCGCTCAAATAGTGTCGCAACCGGTGCCACAGCGTCAAGTAGCCTCCGCTACAGCGGCCGCCCATCCGCTATGCCTTCAACGGGCGTGAAGACTGGCATGGTGCGGCCTTCATCCATGTCAACTGCGGCTTCTTTGGGTGCTCGCTCCGATGCTACGACCGTCTCGTCCATGGGCTCGCGCAAGCCGAGTGGCTCTGGCATTCCATCTTCGACATCCCGTCTCCTTGCACCAACGGCATCGTCCCTTGCGAAGACCCGCGGCAGCACGGCCAACAAGCGCGAGTCAACTCTATCCCAGATCACCAACTCGCCTGGACCATCTCCGCGCAAAGATACCCCGGGCAAGATCTTCAGCACTCCGTTATCCGGCACTCTCAGCCCCAGCATGATACCATCGCCCGTCAAGCCGACATCCCTTGGTTTGGCAGCTGCGACTCTCGCTGCGACGACCGGCACCGAGCCGAAGCCCAAGGCGCCTATGGCCCGCCGTCCGCGCGTCTCGCGTTCGAAGGTCATCGCGAAGCTCGGTGCTCAACGCGCCGCAGCGGCTTCCGGGTTAGTAAGCGGGTCAGGCAGCACATTGGCTCCTCCCAAGTCAACTCTCGCTCCGCGCGCCAGCGGCCCTGCGCCTCGTCTGCGTTCGAGCACTGGTGCCGCTGCACGTCGGTCGTTCGCTGGAGGGCCGAAGGCTCGTGGGAGTGATGTTCTGCTCAGCGCTAAGAAGCACGCACGCCAGAGCGAGCAGGCTCGTCGCCGTACGAGGGCTGGTGGAAGTGCTATTGGCGCTCGTGCTTCCAACGCCGTGAGCCCTGGCAAGCTCTTCGCTGCGGCAAATACCAGCTCCGGTAGTGCTATGGACATCGACGACTGAGCGCACTATTGTCCCTTCTCCTGATTCATCATATCATCTTGGACACACCATTTTCCTCCCCAGACTCTTCAGAAGTACGTACTCGCTCCATCGTCGCACACGCATCGCTACTCTGTACCAGTCTCCGCCCCATACATCACCATTCCCCGCAATTCTACCGCACACCCTTCACCGTTACCTCACGCACGCATCGTTCCTCTGGTCGTAGCTCTCGTTTTCTCTCTCGCCGCTTTGTTCCTGCTCCCATTCCTCGATACCCTCACTGTGAGGTCCACCTGCCGCGCAGGATCTTGCGGACAGTCATCTCGTGTATGATCGCATACTGCAGTGCAGTTATTCTTGTAACTTACACTTCCATTATCGCGACTATCTAAACGGTTGGGCGCGTTTATCATCGTGGAACGATTGAGACAAGAATAAATTGGTATAGGGCAGAAACGCAAGGGGAAAACAGCATTGACTACTACAGAAAGCCTATCCTAGCCACCACACCGATGCCTTGTACGTGCCCTGAATGAGCCAGACCTGCGAGAGAGTCAGCATTGCGAAGAATGGGGCAATCGTAGCGCGAGGAGAATCAGAGAAGCCGATGTTTTCTTAGCCCCCGACCCGCAGAAGCAAAGCTTGTCGTCCAGCATGCACCAAGACGGTGCATACCGGCACAACCCCTACCGAAGCAGAGGCGACGCGCAAAGCAACGCGAGTACGGGTATTCAACGAATGGATGAACTTAGTTTCGTCTTGACAAGAGGGGGAGGGGAAGAGAACGAACATGCACGTACGCGTTCAGGTCCCTGAGAGCTTTGTCTTGAGAGAATCTATGAGAGGAAAAAATATATGCATCTGAAAGTTGAGGTTAGCATGAATTGAAAGCGGGAAGATGTGGAGGGCAGATGCGGATGCTCAGTTGGTGATGCATGTTGTGAGTTTGGTTCATTGAAACCTCACCACTCGAATAATGGATAGATATCGTCATAGCAAGTGGGTGGGTGACGGGGAGAGAGAACTCACGCAAGATGGACTACATGACACGCACAGCAGGAAGCAGGCAAGAACAAAGCGCGCATCGCGCATTTTTTGGAGGCATTAGGTAGGCGGTGATTGCCGGAGGCGTGAGATCCGCGGCTTTTCCTGACGATTTTCGCGCTGCCCGGCGTCGTTCGTTGTCTCTTCCTTTCACCTTCCGTCTTGGGCAAGGCTCGACCCGAGTGGTGAGTGTAAATCTCGTTGCAGAGTGGCTATAGCTGCTCCTTGTGATGATCACCTTCAGTTCTGCTTCCGAAAGAGCACAACTCTTGTGGACACCTACATACCAAAATTTTAATTCTGATCCCGCCTCTACGCATGCTTTCATCACAGATTACTGACGCTCCTTACCAGGTTTTACGAACGCTCAGTCTGAAGTTGGAAGGAGGCAAAATTGTGAGTTGCTTGCTGTTCTAATTGCTTCCCCACTCCTTCGTGATGTTCCATCTCCTACGTAGAGATACAAGCATATGTCCGACTATCCTCGTGGTGGACAAACTCAATTCCTGATCCCTTCCCCCTTTCGTTCGTCATATTTGAGGCATGCTGACATTGTTCATCACAGTAGTTACGCTGTATACTGTCTACTATTGTCATTCACAATGCTATTGGCGCTTTCCTGCGATCTTTCGCTTTAGCCTCGTGAATTGCCTCCGGAGATGGCGTGCCCAGTTCTATGCAAGATGAGTATGCTACGTGAAGGTTGTAATACGACAGACCGCCCACCCCAATCGTCCGGGTTACCGTGCCCTTTTGGCGCTCTTCCTGCCAGTGAACGATGTCGTCCGTGCTCGGAAAGGCTCGTGAATCTCGGCTGCGCATGTAGTCCTGCTGTAACACATCCTCCTCGGAGTTCATTGCCTACGCGTGCCCGTGAATATCTATGCATCTGCAACCTCCTGTACATACAGGCAGCACGGTTGTATATGGTTGTCCTTCATCCCGCGTGTAATACAGCGACTGTCGGCGGCTTTGGGGAGCACTCCTCAGGGATGAGCGTCGTGAGTCGGTCTGCATGCACTACAGGGAGCGCGCAATGAGCCACCGAAGACTGTCAATCTCGGAAACCTCTGAAACTGAAGACATGTACTCTGCCGCACCTCGTTTCGACCAATCGGATACCAGCGCGCAAACCGTACGATTGAGCGGCGGCGCTTGTCGAGGCTGATGCTGTGTGTCCGGCGCAGCCCCAGCTGAATCCCTGACAACGATACAGTCCCTTATATTGGTTCCTCTGGCCTCTGCCTCGCGTCCGCGATGCCTGATTGCTTCTTAGAGCGCTCGGGCGCTTGGGGCGTTGATGACGCGCCCTAAAGGTCGAAGCAGTCGGCGCCTTTCAATGCACTTCGGGTCTCGGTGTGATCGTCTCATGGGAAGATGTAGTGCTCAGACGGCGCGGCGCCAGGCTCAAGAGCCCACACCTCCCTATACGGTTGTGAATTATCTCTTCGGATCAGCCTTCTCGCTACGTAGGCAACGATGCGAACGACAGAACAAAGTCTGCTGATCGCTTACGATACAGGTCTAGCTCGATATCCAAGCTTCGTCGTCCATCGGGGTAGAGATAGTACAGGCATGAGGCAAAGAATTTGAAACTGGGTACAACGATGGGCCTCCTAGTCTGATATTTCTATGACATCGTCGGAAAGAGCGGACGTCCTCTTCGCATATCTGAGTGTAGGTGGCGGTGAAGGTGCTGGGGAAGACACGGATAGCGTTGACATGCGATCCAGGAGATCAAGAGCCTGTCCGTCGTCTCTGAGTTGAGCTTCTCCGCTCGCGAGCGGCAATTCATCGTCTTCCTCTGCCACTCCGCGGCGTCTTCGATCGCGGATACGTTCCAGCGAAGCAGGTGGCCGATCTTCAAGCACGAGAACCTCTTCGTCTTCGGAGAAGTCCTCGTACATGGGCATCGGGGAGTGGCTTTGGATAGGAGACAGCGTGCGGCGGCGCTTCTGCTCTTGTTGATCTTGATCTGTAGCATCAAAACGCTGTGGTCGGGCTCGACGGCGAGAGGATGATGGTGATGTATCCGAATGAGGGGACGGGATACCGTGGATGTGGTCTGCGAGAAGATGTGATGCATCCGGTGGCGGACTGGAATGGTCGTACGCTTGCCCGCCAAAGTTGTCCAGGAACTCCACCGCTTCGCGAGCTGAGAACGTACGCTCGGTTGAAGAGTAGATGCGAGAAGGTCCTGGCAACGGACGGTTTGGCGCTGGCTTTGTGCGAGGCTTAGGGCGAGAAACATGGGTCTTTGCGGATACGAGCAGCGCATCGTCACGTTCCGAATCGGTACCAGAGCTGATGGCATTTAGATCGAAGAACTCTCCTTCCGAGTCACTCCCAGCAGCGCCAGCCGTCGTGTGCATGCCTCTTCGCTGTTGTGTAGCTTCGCTATGTACGGCTTTACCTAATGAAAGCCCAGTCAGCTGGTTATTACCGCTCACAGGCTGAATCCACACTTACGTTTCGTCACCCTCTTTAAAGTGGTGGCAGCTTTCGCCTTGCCCTTATTCAAGACTTTCTTGGGCGATGCTTCACCGTCTGAGGCTTCGCTAGGCGGTGAACCCGAGCTACTACTTGCTTCCGACCCCTCGTCTGCCTCGCTTTCGGGCTTTGCTGTGCCTCCTGCGTGGCGCCGGTAACAGCCGCGCACGAGGTCTCCCCAAAGAAGATAGTCGCCACAGCCCGGACAGTCGCCTCCTCGAGGGACTATGCCGACGTGACCGGGGTCCTGCGCAGAGAAGTGTCGACCTAGGCAAGACAAATGTGATACTGCAGTGCAACGCTCATTAGTGCACAAAGCAGTGTTCAGTGGCGCCTGCGGATTGGTTAGTATAAGTTTCCCAACAATTCACTCTTGACGAACCGTACGATAATCGTCGATCGAAGCGCGGCATACTGCGCAGGTGTAGCGCGCCTCAACCACCACGGCGTTGTGTTTGACAAGGTGTGCTGTTGTGAACGTGACTGCAATACATCAGAGGCATGCGCCTTCGAAACATACAATGCGCTCACTATCAGAAACATCTAGAGGGCCTGTTCTTCCAGAGCCGGTATGGCCGGACTTGCCATCAACACCCTCCAGCTCAACCTGTGTCGTGAATCCTCGAGGCAGCGCCGGCACGGAGGCATCCTTGTTGAACGTATCCCAAAGTTTGACGGCTTCTGCCGTGAACAGCTTTGCGTGTAGAGGCCAGGTCGTGTAGGGTGGGTTCGTGACCATCATACGCCCAACCCTACATCACGTTCAGAGATGACGTTCGGATATGGGCGCTTCGGTGCACCACTCACTTCGCACTCGCTTTCAGTGTCTTGGACTTCTTGTCGCCAGCGAACAGGGACTTGCCGTCCGCATCGCGCAGGTGACGCGAGATGTGAGGATGCTGCCATGCCCATTCGAACTGCACTTATCATCGCGCTTGTCAGTCCAGGTCGATGATGATCTATGAAAACGTATACAGCAACAGTGACTCACGCGCGGCCAACTTCGAAGGGAATCCGTAGATAATCATCTGCATCACCCAGGGTCGATTGTGCTTAGTCTTCCATGCGCCAGCGGCAATCTCCCCATTGTGTTGACTACACAGCCTATCAGCATACCAGATTCAAGATGCCCATGTGATAATCACTCGCCGTATCCTTCGTGGAGGGTGTGGTGTACTTCCGATGTATGTTCTGTTCAGCTCAGGTCAGAACTTCAGGTAGTTCGAGCGCTTTAGCATGGGCCTTGGCCATACTAACGCTGTTGCGCGTGGCGTTCGGACAGACTTGAGAAGGTAACATGCGTAGAAATTGGGTATCTGGTGGACCTCCAGAGTTGAGCGTGTCTTGCGCGTCGTCGGTTGCGACATGGCTCGAGCGAGGGATACGGCGGGAGCCCTAGCCGCCACGTTTAAGGGTATTGCGTAATCAGAAAGAGTGTGGCTGTGATTCAGGGTGGTCGGATCCTCAGCAATTCCGAACACCTGGTCGTGGTCCTGGGTCAAGCGCGCGTCAACGCGCCACGACGCGTCGCGTTGCCTCGACGCGGTCACTTGACCTTCCGGTTATACCGGCTATCCTGTTTTCCGGGACTTTACCCCGCGTTCTACCCCACATTGCAGTTTCGCTTGGACATCCATCACAGACTATAGCCTCCCCCAACTTTCAAAAGATCTAACTTTCAGAATGGCTGATGTCCCTGGTACGCACAGTCCTCCGCGGCCTACTTCCAGCCGTGTCTGAGCGCAAGAACAGACCTTTCTGCTTCGTCTCTCTTCGGCGGGTTCAAGGGGAAAGTAGGTATGAAACTACTGGTGCCGACCTCTTCGATCATCATACTAAGAGCTGCGTTATAATTCAGCTGTTGTTACCGGCGGAGGCTCTGGCATTGGTACTATGATCGCTACTGCGTACGTCCAGAACGGCGCGAAGGTCTACATCTCGTCTCGCAAAGAGAAGCAACTGAAGGAGGTCAGCCGAGCACCGTCGGCTTTGAACGACCCCTCCTACTCACCTATTCCATCATCTACCTTCAGACTGCCGACGCTCTGAACAAAATGGGACCCGGTAGCTGCGAATACGTCGTCGCCGACCTCAGTGTCCGTGCTCTACATTCTTCGTTCATTCATGTCTCACAGACGCGAAGAACAAAGCAGGCTGCGATAAGCTGGTGAACGAGATCAAGGCGAAGGAGAGCAAAATACACGTTCTCGTCAACAACTCTGGCATGTCTTGGGGCGCTCCCATAGACAAGTAAGCCCTCCCTTCAGACTGAGGGTTGAACTATATGCTGATAATCACCATTCGCGTCCAGCTTCCCCGAGAAAGAAGGCTGGGATAGGCTCTTTGCGTTAAATGTCAAGAGCATTTTTTACAGTCAGCTACTCTCACATAAGTATACGATGCTCGTACTGACCAATCGATCATACAGTGACCGTCGGCTTGTCTGACCTGCTCGCCAAAGACGCGACGAACCACTCACCTGGCGTCGTGCTCAACATGTCTTCCGTCGCAGGCATCAACCCTGTCGCCGAGTCCGGCCGCCTAAGCGCGAACAACAGCAGCGTCTACAGCTGTAAGCTGCGCTTCCCTTCTATCCGCATTCTTCTGTACCAACAGTATTCTGCAGACAATGCGAGCAAAGCGGCTGTCAACCACCTCACCTCTTCGCTCGCCGTCACCTTCGCCAAACGCTTCGTGACAGTGAACGCGATATGCCCCGGGGTGTTCCCGTCCAAGATGACGGCCTTTGGTGTGAAGAAGGCAGGTGGCGCTGAGGCTATGGGCCGCGATAACCCATTCAGTGAGTCGACCTGTGGCAATGTCTCTTGATAGTGGGCTAATGCGACGTATCAGAGCGCATCGGCGAGCCTCGCGATATGGCTGGACTGGCATTGTTCCTCTCGAGCCCGGCAGGAGCATATATCACCGGCGCACATATCGCGCTAGATGGAGGAGCCACGCTTTCAAGAGGTGCCGATATGCTTGGTGGATCTCAACCGAAACTTTGAATGGCCGTCCGTGTAGATCATGTATACTGTACCCAATAACACTCTATCCGTATCACAGCATTGTTGCAGCATACATGCATATGAAACATGACTATCGTCTGCGTAACCTCTGCAATGCCAATGCCTCCAGGTCTTCCGCCTCATCGAAGCCCTCTGACTGCTTCTCCTTCCGTTCGTGCCTGTCGCCCTTCCGCTTCTTCGCAGGCGGCATGTCGAACGTAGGCCGCGCATCCGCCTCTTCATCCGACGCATCCGGTATATCGAATACAGGCGACACATACCCGTCGTCGTCGTCTCCCGCGCCGACCGTCGGCCCAGCATACCCCTCTTCCTCCTACGCACTTCATGAGCACGGACACTAAAAGACAAAGCATAACGGAAAAGACATACCTCACGTTCCCTCTCCCTCCTCTTCCGCTTCCTCTCCCTCTTCTTCTCCCTCGCCTCCCTCTTATCCTCCCCATCAACCACCCTCAACCGCTCCCTCTCCTCCTCCGCGAACCGCCGCGCCTCCTCCAGCGCACCCTTGCGAGCATCACCCTCACCATCAGCACCGAACACCTCCTCGACGTCCTTCATCTCGTATATCTCGTGCCCCTGCCCCTCGTCGTCGAACACCAGGCGCGTGGGTGCGCCTTTGAACTTCAGCATCGCTTTTTTGCTTTTGGCCATTTTGAGTTTGCGTTTGGAGAGGTTTTCCGAGGAGTCAAATGTGCCGGCGGCCTCTGTATTAGTAGCAGGGGTTGGCTCGAGGTTCGATGTGGAAGGGTTGGAGGTGGGGAAAGAGGGATCGTCGGGCAAGGCGTGGTCGGCGCGCTTGAGCGTTATAAAGTCGTCGTCGGAATCCGAGGCGCCGTGGTCGACGAGCTTGGTGTAGTGCTCCGAGAGGATGTTTTGGTTCTTGCGGCCGAACATGCGGTCGTATTTCGTTTTCACGCCTGCTTGCTGTGGGAATATCAGGATTGAAGACAACCGATGTAAGAGCGTGAGAAAAGACGTACTCTGGTCGCAGTATTGGGTACGGCGGGTTTCCCGTCCTTCTGCTCGGCATCATCCTCGTCCTCGTCCTCTTCACTACCCTCATCTTCGTCCTCCTCGTCACTGTCATCCTCCACTCCGCTCTCCGCTTCGTCGACACTACTCGCCTCGTCAACTTCCTCGCTCTCCTCCTCTTCATCCGAATCCTTCGTCGCCTGAAGCTTCGCAACGTCCCTCGACGCGTTCTTCTTCACCCTCGCCTGTTCCCGACTCAAGAACTTGATCTTCGGGACACCGGGTAGACCCAGACTAGCGGCGTACGCCTCGGCCGGCAACTTCGTGACGTCGAAGATAGTCTTGTCCTTCTGCAGATGTATCGACCGCAGATAGCTGACGAACGCCTACTCACACCGTCAACACCCATATTTAATCATAGATGAAGGAGAGAGACGTACGCGCTGCGCGAGGTACTTAACCTCCGGATCCTGAAATGCCAAATTCTGCAACTGGTTCTCGATGCTCTGCGTCTTACTCCCCCGAACCTTAATCTTCTCAACGCTGACCCCCCTCTCGCCCAACTTCCTAACCATCCCCTCCTCCTCGCTCGGACAAAGCAACAACAGCCCGCGCCCATGGCTCTGGTACCTTGCCGTCCTGCCCACCCTATGCACATACGTCTCCGCGTCCTCCGGCGCATCGACCTGCACGACCCAATCCACCGCCGGAAAATCGAGCCCGCGCGCCGCGACGTCCGTCGCAAAAAGCACGGCATGCTGCATCGACGTGAACCGCTTGAACGTCTGCAAGCGCGTCATCTGCTTCTGCTTGCCGTAGAGGTGGAGCAGCGGGATACCGGGCTGCATGCGCCGGAAGGCCTCGTAGACGAAGCGGACCTGTTTCGCGGCGGAGAGGAAGACGAGCGTTTTGGACTGCAGGTGCGTCTTGATGAAGGACCAGAGGACGTCGAGCTTTTTGTCGAGCGGCGTTACGACGTAGTGCTGCTCGAGGCCTTTGGGGATCGCGAGGGGGCGCTGGGTTTTGGGGTCGGATGGGTCGGACGAGGTGGAGGGCTCGACGTCTGCTGAGATGGGGACGGGGTCGTTGAGGGAGAGACGCGCGAGGTCGGATATGGATTGGGTTTGGGTTGCGGAGAATAGCAGCGTTTGACGGGATTTGGGCAAGTGTGACAGCAAAGCCGTGAGCGTGCGTTGGAAGCCCAAGTCGAGTATGCGATCCGCCTCGTCGAGCACGAGCAACTGCAAATTATCGCACTCAAACCCCACAGTCTGGTCCATATGCTGCAACAGCCGTCCGGGCGTCGCAATAAGAATATTCATCCTCGACAGCCTCTCCTTCTCGTCCTTCAAATTCTTCCCTCCGATGACAAGCCCCGCAGAAAAACTGTGCGCGCCGCCGATCTTGCGGAGGACTTCGAATATCTGGAGCGCGAGCTCGCGCGTGGGGGAGATGACGAGGGCGCCGAGGCCGTCCTGGGGGCCCCATTTCTTGCGGTAGAGGATCTCGAGGACGGGGATGAGGAAGGCGAGCGTTTTGCCGCTTCCTGTGCGCGCGGCGCCGAGGACGTCTTTGCCTTTGAGCGAGACGGGGAGGCTTTTGGATTGGATGTCCGTCATGTCGACGAAGTGGCTCCTCTTCAGTCCTGGACGCGCTTTAGCACACTGTCATAGCGTAGAGCCGCAGTACTCACCAGCCTTGGTCAAAGACGAGATGGGCAAATCTGAGAAAGCTTTGAGGCTAGAAGACGGCTCCTGTCAATCAGAACTGAGTGTGAGTGAGCCACAGCTAGAGTGATCTAAGCAGTATAAACGCACAAATTCCATGGCAGCCTTCTCGAGCGCCTCGATCTGCTGCTTCTCCGACAGCTTCTTCACTTTCGACGACCGAACAGCATGTTGCTGTTTCTTCCCGTCCTTCTTGTTTGCGTGAGGGACTTTGCGCGGGTTGGAGGGGCCGGCGACGGCGGCCATGGTGGATGAAGGTCGAAGAAGCTGAGAATGTGGCGAAGCGTGAAATTCTGTGAGCGCGTTCTCGGTGATCGGCACCGGTGATCCGAGCCAGGCTCCGTCTCCGAGTGTGCCTCGGCCAAGTTGCTCCGCCCCATTACCCGCTCTCTCAGTATCCCTCTCTAACATTCTCAAATCCTGTCGCTAGAGCTCGCTCGAGCAACTCTACGCGCGCTCGGCGAAAACCGAGAACATAACTTATCCCCGGGGAGCACAGCAACGATAGACGCCCACTAATAACACGCCCCCTCCACGCGCACCCCCACCTTCCCTCCAACCAAACATGTCTTCCGTCCGCGACTCCTATTATGCACAAGGCCTGTCGGACGATGCCGTAGAAGCTGATAATGAAGGAAAGGACCTAGACGCCGCAGGTGCGTCAACGACCCTAGAACCCACCCCATCACTCTTCTCTTTACGTCTGGATGGCAGAGACTTCATGCTGATGAGAGTTTTCGAACGTCAGAACGCAGAAGGCTGATGTTTAGGTTGGGATCTTCCTTCTTTCTGTTTGGACTCATCAATAACGGTGCGTTTCTCTCGCTTCTTCAGCGTGGAAGCTGGTGATCTCATGCGCGGCCGACAGTACTCTATGTCATCGTATTATCAGCCGCGTTGGACCTCGTACCTGCATACGTACCTAAAGGCGTAGTAGCCTTCTTCAATATTGCGCCTGCGTTCGCCGCGAAGGTGCTCTGGCCTATACTCTCGAAAGGAACGATCCGGTATTGGAGGAGGTTGGCGGGATGCTGCACACTTAGCGTCCTGGGGATGGTGGTACGTACTCGGACCATCTGGACGTAAAACCATGTGCTGAAGCAGATGCAGATCGTGGCGGGCTTCGACTACACCGCTATGAGGCTGCTTGGCATCGGCCTGGCGTCCTTCGCATCAGGTCAGACTCACTCCTTCCATCCGCTCGACCACGCGCTGACACACGTACAGGACTCGGTGAACTCACCTTCCTCCAATTCTCGACTACCTATCACCCACCAGTAGTAGCAGGGCTCGGCCTTGGGTAACGTCTTCTTCCCAGCTATATGCGCGAGCCACAGCTAACGCAAACGCCACAGCTACTTCTCATCCGGAACGGGCGCCGCGGGCCTCGTCGGCGCGTTCCTCTGGTGGAACCTACGCACATTGGGCGTCAGAATAGGCGTAGGCATATCCGCCGTACGTCGCACCCATCTCTTCCCCGCACCACCTACTGACTCCTCCTCACGAACAGGTCCTCCCCCTCGTAATCCCCCTAGTCTACCAACTCTGGATCCCGCGCCCCGAAGCCTTCACCCTAATCGACCTCCCCGCCACCTACGACGACGCAGGCGACATCCCCATATCCGACGAATACGCGCCCCTCGCCGCGTCCGACGAAGGCCTGCACAGCTTCGAGGCCGTAAGCGGGTTCGAGGAGGAGGGCGCCGCCGCGCCGAGCAGGCATCCGACTGCGCTGAGTGCGGCCGATAAGAGGCGGCTGTTCGTGCCGCTGGTGTTGAAGTATATGTTGCCGCTGTTCTGTGTATATTTGGTGCGTTACTTGTGCTTGGTGTTGTATGTGTGGTATATGGGGCTGATTGGAGGGATAGTTTGAATACACTATTAATCAGGGTATTGCGCCTACGCTAGTTTATCCCGTCCCGGACCCGGAGACGTACCCCTTCCTCAAATTCATACATTCGATACGGGACTATTATCCTCTCTGGCAGGTGCGCTCCCTCTCCCTACCTCCCTCATCTACTCCACGCGGACCACGATCACACGCATATAGCTCGTCTACCAAGCAGCCGTATTCATCTCCCGCAGCTCAATCTCGCTCGGCCTCCCACCTCTCCCCGCTCGACTCCTGTACCTCCCCGCCGCAATCCAAGCTATGATCCTCGCCATCCTCGCCGTCGAATCCGCAACAGGGTTCATCCCCGACAGCTCCGAAGGACTAGCCATCATCATGTGCTTCATCCTCATAGCCATCGAAGGCTTCTGCGGCGGCTCAGCATAGTACGTACCCTCCCTCCCTCTTTCCCCTCCCCTCCTCCCTCCTTCTTCTCGCTAACCCCATCCTCGCAGCGTCAACGTATTCTACCGCGTCTCCCAAGAACGCCCCTCGCCGGGCCTACCCCGCGAACGCGCCAAACAAGAAAAAGAGTTCCAGATCGGCGCGATCGGGCTCGCGGACAGTCTGGGCATTTTGAGCGCGAGCCTGTTGGCGGTGCCGACGGAGGTTGGGCTGTGTAGGGCGCAGGTTGCGCGGGGGAAGGCGTTTTGTCGGGAGTTGTAGTCTAGTGAGGGAGGGGAAGGGGGAGGGTGTGTAGGATATGTGTATTTGCGTACTTCGCGGCTGGGTTATTGCAGTTGACGTTTTCGCTGGTTGTACAGGAAATTGAACGCAAATAACTCTCATTTCCAGCGCTGGTGTACACAAGATCTCAGTGCGGCGCAGAGGTGCGCGGAATGCACACTGACAGATTGAGCTAGCTTGCAGTAGGTACCTTTCAAGGGTGCGTCAGTGGGTTGCGCTGTTCGCCAGCATGCCTGCTTCAAGTGCAGCGTTCCCTCGGAAAGAGGTTAGAAAGAGGTGGCGCCAGCCTTCGCGGAAGATGAGCTTGAGGCCACCGTGGGGCGGACTGATGCGCTCGATGGTGCGGGAAGGCATGAACCCATCTTGAAAACGGCACGGGAGAGCGCGCACCGCGCACCGAGCTGGCGGCGTTCACAGCACGTTGGGAGGGGCTTCCTCTTTTACTTTCTCGTATCGATGTACGGCGTCACGTACTGGCTATAGTAGAGCGCGCTCGAAAGAATGAACCTCTGAATGGCGCCCTATCAATGTGGCGCCGGTGCGCCTGGATGCCAAAGAAATAATCAGCCGGTGCGGGGATCCGGATGTCGGGCCGAATTTCAGCGCCACAAGCACCATGCACGGCCCGTCAACCACTTGTCTCTGACCCACCACCACCTCCTAAACACCGTTGAGAAACCGTAACAACCTATATTCGATGACTGAGTCGGTCACGCAATCTATCCAAGCCCTTTCATTGCGGAAGACTGTCACTCACGCCGGAACGGGCGGCAAGAACCTCCACGAACTGTTCAAGAGTGACCCCGCTTCCCTCACAACACTACTACGCGACACCTGGGCCTCTGTCTGTGCACCCTCGCCTTCCGACTCTGACAACATCTTGCTTGAGACTATTGACTCCTTTGCCCAACTTGCAAAAGATCTCTACAACGTTACCAACGACTGTGAAGAAGACCGAGCCGGATTCGGTCTTGACGATTGGTCTGCACTGCACGACGCGGGTCTCTTCGATCTCATACAGGACATCCTCACGGACGATCGCTTCTTCTCTGCAGAACAAGTGCGTAGAAGATGTGCAATCAATAACCTTTGCTCATGTGCCGCAGCGGGCGGTCCCCGCTGCCCATATGTTCCACACGTACTGCATATTGTCATACCCCAATGATGAATGGGGTCGACTTTACGGATCTCGTGCACTTCGGCGCTCAGAAGCGCTCTGGACCACCTTCTGGCATCATCGGCGTCGCATCGCAGAATGGCCCCTGGATGATTATATCCAGAAAACTGGCAACCACCCGGTTGTACAAATTCTCGTGACACATTCCATACTACGTAGTGTTGCGTTCGTACCCATCTCTCGTACTGTTCAAGTCGTCACGAAAGCTAACTTGAGAATCACAGTGAGAAATCGGTTCCACGAAGCTCGTGCATGAACTATTACGCTTTGCACGCCTGGGCAACTGCTTCATTCCCAACTCAAGACTTCAAACATATCTTCTTCTGTGCGATCGGGCAAGATCCCTGGAATGACAAATCTCTCTTCATCCGCGAAGGTGTCATCGACGGCGTCGGTATTGATCCATGTATGACCCGCCTAGCTGCTGTACTTCGCGGAGAGGAGCCATGGCGCTGGACTAGCTTGAATGACCTTCGATGCGCTATGACTTTATTCTCTGGTCTGACACACGATGATTCCGAAAGCACACCAGAAACTTCTAGGATGGTCGTCTCTGCAGGGCAACATGGCATACCGCATCTCGTCGTGTCTATCGTGAAGAAACATGCGCTCGCACATGGACTCAGCGCCAATCCGGCATTCTACAATGGCGCTTTTACCCTCCTCTCGTGCGTATCAAGCGCACTTCTGCCGTACACATGTACAGCGCTGATGGGAGTACACACTCCGATCTGTAGGATGTCTATCCGGCACGACTACCTTTCCCGACATTCAGCCGAAGCCGATGGCGCCCTGGTGATTTCAGGCGAAGACGTTGCGATAATCTTATCATGTGCCATTGAACTACTGGCTCTACATGGCGCAGAGTCAGAGCCGAGCGATGGCACGCGAAAAGGTGTGTCCCTATACTTGCATGCCGCCACCAAACATCCATGTCGACTTACTTTTCAGCGATGATCTCGGTCGTGAACTTCCTATCTCCTGTGCTACAGTCGTACTACAAATGGATCAAGGAGATCAAGAGCTCCGCACCTGACTCTGTTTCCCCTCTTGAATCTGAGCTACTTGCTGGTCTAAAGCGCGGCGCGGCGGATCACTGGTGGCCAAGTCTTCGAAGGCTCGACCTCGCAAAGCATCAATGTGAAGGGCGCAACGAGCATATCGTCCAGTTCAGCATGTTGTGGAAGGGTTTCGGCGCTTTACTCGGATGCGATGCTAAGCAAGAAAGACAGCGTGACGCGCAACAGGCTGCTGGCCGTTGTGCACGACTAGCGTGCGAATATAATAGAAAGCCTTCAGAGACACAGCTGCTGCGATGCAAAGGCTGCGGCGTTTACTACTGCAGTCGCGATTGCCAAGTAGCGTGAGTGCTTCACCGTCGCAATGCAGCTGTCACATCACTGATATGTTCGGTTTGTCTGCAGGGACTGGAAGAGCGGACACAAGAGGGAGTGCCGAAGACTAGACAGTGACCACAGTGCTAGCCGAGCTTCTGATGGCTAGGAACCGCAATCGCATTCCAAGGCTACTGAGTATTGTATCACGAAGGCCGTGTATCTCTGCATGCGGCATAACATGTATCACAGTATCATTTCTAGCAGACCTTAACAATACTATTTCAACCTGACCAAACAGCCTGCCGGACAGGGTAAGCGCGCTTCCTGATCGCAAGCTGAAGAAGTGACTTACCGGGCCGGGCATGGTGTACGTCGCTGGCACAGGATACTATGAAAGTAAAGGGGCATGAGGGGCTGGGTCGCGTTCATCTGAAGGATACGTACGTAGATGTTGATCAAGATACCAGGCTCATTGCCGGTATATACACCAGGGATTGCGACCTTGGGCCCTGGGGTTCCCGATCCACCGCCCGTGACGTTGATCTGACCGCAAGAGATCTACAACACTTGTGAGGCGCAATCGACATGAGAATGTAATAGTCCGACTCACGTAGAATTGGGCACCACCGAATGTGCTTGCAGCGTGAAGCGCGATAGCCTCCATGCGAATGAGGTAGCTTCCGCTCGGGAGGGCCTCGGGCAGCGTGAAGGAGACACTGGGCACGTTCTGGGCAGGGAAGCTGATGCTGCTACCGCCGTTGGTGATAGGTGGGACCTCATGAACCTTGAACCAGACAGCGCCGTCACCGGCCCAAGTGGTGGCATCCGAACCCGCGGGTATCTCAGCCATGTAGATGTTCACGACGCCCGGGTGGTAGATTGTGCCGCCGTCGCCAACAACGAAACCAATCTCTTGACCTGCTGACACGGACAGAGTAGTGGCTGTCGCGTCCGTCGCTGTATCGTAGCAGCGGAAGTCGGCCGACGTAACATCGGTGACCTATTCATCGTATGAGATGAAGATGGAAACGGCTGTGGAGGATGGTCGCGTACAGGGGAATTGGTTTGGAAGTTGTTTGTCTTGCGAACGTTCTCCCAAGGGCTCGTCGTCACTCCCTTCGATAAAAGCGAGGGGAACGTGTCTATCGGACCGTCAGCGCTGCTCAACTGGTAGAGGAACAGACGTACAATGAGCAGAGGCCGTACCAAGAGAAGCCGCAAGAGCGAAGACCGAAGAACGCATGGTGTCCTGTAGTCCGAGAAAGCTGTCTACCACTCATCTTCTTATAGGGAGCCATTTCTTGTTATCCCAGAATACGTCTTGAGCTCGTGCCAGCGTTCAAGCTTGAGTGAAGAAGAGCCAATTGGAAGTTGAGTAAGACTGCCACAGGATAGCTGGCTTCTTCCCGGCGGTCAACTGACGGGCCACTGCGCTATCACCGCTGCTACGTCGATGTTCACGAGGGCCTATAGGCTAGGTAAGCATCCGAGCCTTAACCGTCGCAAGTCAAGCTTCATGGGATGATCCTACCCGGGTTGAATTGAAAACATGGAAGTTCGCAAACGGCACCTCCGAGCAAATCGGGAGCTACAGCCTCGGCACGGCGAGCTTGCTTCTCGGGGTTATTCCTGGGTGCGTTCAATTAAAGTGGCCTCTGACCGGACAAATGACGCACCGAGACGTATCCGACGCACTTCCTCAAGATATAAGCGGGCCTGTTGTCCGATCACTGAATGGAGAGACGAGCGGTATCCCCGAGTTGCGACTCGATGATGACGGCGACGCATTCGCTCAGGGACGAGTTGGTCAGGCAAATGGACATTTGAAAGCAGCAGCGCGGTCTAGAGAGAGACAAATGGTACGCCATCTAGCGATGATAATGAGACCGAGGGAACAAGCACAGTCCCCGCCTCTGACTTGAAGAAGGCACAACTGCACGGTAGCAAAAGTGGTTATAGATGGCGCTGCGGGCAGCAAGCCTTTCGTTACAGTCGTAAGGCAGTGGAATGTAGAGAACCCCATAAAACCGACAAAAATTCCGCAGGAACATCGAAACCTCGAGAGCTATGATGCGAAGTTCGACCACACCCTTAGCCTGACCAGACCGCCTGCAAAGCGCGTGAGTCGACAGCCCATACACATCGATCAAGTCAATGATAGACTTACAGGGCCCGGCATCGTGTAGTTAGCTGGCACGGGGTACTGTATGGTCATTCGCATGTGAGTGTGAGTCCAGCTTGATTACAAGATACGCACATAGATGTTGAGCAGGATTCCGGGCTCGTTTCCTGTATATACACCAGGGATGGCGACCTTCGGGCTTGGCGAACCGGAACCACCGCCACTGACATTGATCTGGCCACATGAAATCTGCGCGAGATGATGAGTATACGAAGATCAACGGAATTGAATGGCATACATAGAACTGCGCGCCACCGAATGTGCTTGCAGAGTGGAGGGCAATGGCTTCCATGCGGATCAGGTAGTTTCCGCTCGGAAGCGCCTTCGGCAGCGTGAAGGATACGCTGGGCACGTTCTGCGCCGGGAAACTGATACTGCTCCCGCCATCAGTGATGGGCGGTACTTCGTGGACCTTGAACCAGACAGCGCCGTCGCCAGCCCACGTAGTCGCATCGGAGCCAGAAGGTACCTGGGCCATGTAGATGTTCACGACGCCTGGGTGATAGATTGTGTTGCCGTCCCCAACGACGAAACCTATGCTTTGACCAGCCGCGACATTCAAAGTTGTCGCCGTCGCACCCGTTGTGGTGTCGTAGCAGCGGAATGCGGCAGATGTTACGTCTGTCACCTGGCGGAGAAGGATGTCAGGACAGAGCTGAGGGAAATGATAAGAAGGTGAGAGTATCACGCACTGGACCATTGCTTTGGTAGTTATCCGTTTGGCGGACATTGAGCCACGCAGTCGTGGTCGCACCTCCATAGAGGAGCGAAGGAAAGGTGTCTATCCGGCTGTCAGTATTCTGCTCATAAGAGTAGTAGAGGTGGACTCACAATGTGCAGAAGCGGAGCCGAGAGAGGCAGCAAGAGCGAAGAGAGTGGACCGCATGTTGCACCGAGGGCTCACAAAGTCTGCAGGTAGACTTGCGCGCTTTTAAAGAGCATAGAGAACCTGATGCTAGCCAGCGCTGGCGCGGCGTGTTCAATCAGAAACATGCTACGAAAAGGCTGCAGCCGAGATCTGGCGAAGCCGAGCCAGTCTATCCAGAGAAGACGTCGTGTAGAAAGTGCTTCTTCACATCAAGTGACGAGGCATTTCAGAACGCAAGAGCGATGCGAGATGGAGCCACGAGTCACATTTTTCCGGCTTCGTTAGACGAGCCATCCGAATCTTAGCCGTCACGGATGTATGAGCTTGACAGAAAGTGGGATTACCCGCCATCTTTGCTCATTGAGATGGCCAGTGAGCGTGGTGTATGTTCCTAGATCTGGCAAAAGGCAGCAGGCAGTCTTGCCCTTGACCCTTCCACCCATTGAGGCTTCACGGCGGCAACTCCCCGGGCGACTTGCCCTCCGAGGCGGCCCCGATACATCTCCTCAATAGATTTCACAACGTGTGAAGGCTTGTAACACGGCTCGAAAGCGTATCATGAGGCATATGCGCCAAGAGAGGTCAACGGGCCAGCCGGCAATGGTACATGACTGGTGTCTGGCAACTGCCTATCTCATCGAGACCGCTGAGCAATCTATCAGCCTTCTCGCATCGCTCATCATACAAAGAATGACATACGATACTCCGGAGCGACCGACCGGCGCGGAGTCGGCGAGTACGCTGTTCTTGAAACGATCTATTACAAATACCTCACACTTGGCACATTTTGACAGTACAGATGAGCATGGTGGGGGTTCAGACAAGCGCTGGGTTCCGATTATAGAGTCTGGAGGGTTCGAACGTCCTCCAACATATGGTGGCTGCCTTCAGGCTGTTGGTGGTCGGAGACAACGGTCGCGACAACGGGATCATCGTCGGGCCGACGGATCAATATTCCCACAGCACCGGGCCGGTCTCCGAAGTTACAACGGTCTTCGTACTATCGTAGCTCTCGAGCGCCATGCTTTCAGAATGCTCAGCATCTAAGTACATCATTATGATTCATACAACAGAGAGCAAGTGCTATGGTAAGTACAGATGATGGCGGACAACAAGGTACACGGTATAGTAAAAGACAAGCAAGATCCGAGTTGCGGGTACAACAAGAGCAAGAGGCCGGATGGATATATGCACGCAGGAAACGATGTGAAGTGGTAAGAACGAGATAGCAGAAAAAGGAGTGAATAGGAGAACTACTGCAAGTTGCCGAGCTGTATCCAGGCATCTGTGACGCTGTACTCGCCGCTTTGTCGCAAAAGGCGGTCCTGAGCGCGCGGATTCGGTGGGCGCATCTGCGGCACCTGCGATGGTGGCGGCATCTGGGACTGTGTATCTCGTACGGCCCACATCTGAGCCTGGCCTGGCTGGGCCGTGACTGGAGTGACGGGCGCCGACGCCCATTGCTGCTGCTGCTGATACTGTTGCTGTTGTTGTTGCTGCTGATACGCATACGCCTGTGCCGCCTGGACGTGGGCTTGCGAGTACTGCTGCGCCTGCGCCTGCGCATGTTGCTGCTGCTGTTGCTGAGCATGGATGGTATGAGAAGCGTATTCGGACGGTTGTCCGTAAGCGACGTGTGGCTGGGAGTGCGAGGGCACGATATGAGAATGCGACGGCCCGGCGACAGGATGCATCTGCGACGGTACTTGAGCTTGAGGCGCATAGTACTGCTGCTGCTGCTGCTGTTGCTGCGACGTCGGATAGATCTTCTGCTGTGCCGCAGGGTAACTCTGCTGTTGCTGTGGAGGGTAACCTTGCTGTTGCCCGTGATGTTGTGGTTGTTGCGGTTGCTGAGGTTGTTGGTAGTAACCCTGCGGAGGCGGGAAGTAGATCGCCTGTGCGCCACCCGCACTCGTATCGAGCTCTCCGTACCCGCCTTGCGCCCACTCCTGCGCCGGCGCGACGGTGAGTTGAACATCGAGCGAGTGATTGAACGTCGCCAGCTGATCCGTGATGGCAGCATGCGTGCCGGCGTCGCCCCAACTCTCGCCGTGTCCCGACAGGCTCCCACTCCCGCTTCCGCTGTCCTGGCTTGCCATCGTTCCCGGACGTGTATCCAGAAGGTCGCCAGAAGAATTGCTTGCAAGCACCATGCTCACAGGACTGACGCCGTCGGAATGTTGAGAATGCGACTGCTGTATCTGGGTTTGCTGGCCATACACAGCCGTGCCCTGCCGCAAAGCCGGCCGTGCCGGCGCGGACACGGTGCTCGTGGCTCCAGAGAAGACCGCGAACTCGTCCGATGGTTTGGGCGGGAATAACTCGGGCGTGTGTCCTGCGGCGGTAGAACGTACGGAGTGAAACGTTGATGTTGCCTTCTCCCAGTGCCGACGTACTATGGGCTGCGAAAGGGATGCAATGTCAGCATACACGAGGCAGGAAGAAATGGGTAGTCCCTTAAGAGACGTATACTCACCGCCATCTTCCGCGCTCTACCTCCATACGGCGCCGCCTTCTCAAACAGCTCCCTCGCCGCCTGTAATTCCAGCAACGCGGTGTGCGCCATCTTACTTAGCGGCGCCCTCACGGGCACGAGCGCGAGCAGAACCGCAGAGCTGAAGCTGTGCGTCCAAAGAACCCAATAGCGTGCGACCTGCGCCGGGTGCTTCTCGAAAGCTGAGCGCAAATTCGTGAGCAGATTGACTGCGGCCCGATAGCCGGCCATTATGCTAGGCGCATATGATGAACGAAGAGGGTCCAAGGGGCGCTCTACTAAGCCTTGAGCAAAGTAGGCACGGTGAACGTATAGCAAGGCTACCGAGATCATCAACATACCTCCGAGCGCGCGAGGATGAGAAGAACTCACTAAGATCGCGATAGTTCTGCGGCATGAAGTGTTGCATGAGAACTGAGAGCGATGCGCCCTCGGGAGGTTCAGAGGTCGCGTAGGCAGGAAGCGCCATGCCTTGAAGTTTGCGATCAAGCTCGACAATCTTCTCGTATTTCGGTGGACGTGCGGTCAAGATGGTCTGCACGACGACCGAGACGCACTCCTTTCCCCAACGTGCCTTCCAGTGTGGGACTATGAAGACCTCAGTATGCGACCCATGACGAGATGAAAGGACCTGGCGTACATGAGTCAACCGGTTGCCCTTCTGCGTCCAGCGTCTGATCGATATCCTGTGGCAGCTCACAGTCGACGAAAGGCAACGAGAATGTCGCAGAACGACCCGTCGCGAGAGCCTATCACATCGTCGTCAGCGACTGTACAGCTCGAGAACATGTGAACCATACCTGCCAGCAGTCCGTAATGAACATCTCCCAGAACAACGATCTTCGCTTCTGGACTTCCTGAGTCGTGAGCTTCCACCGCGCACTATCGCGATGAAGCCCAACGCTCTGCCCGAGCTTAGTCGCCATGCCGAATAGGGTCCAGGTACTCTCGATGGAATGTTCATTCGCCACTAGCCCTTGGTAGATGGCCATGAGGCTGAGAGCTTGAACCGTCGAGACTGCTGGCGCATGGTCCGTGACAGGGTCAAGTGCGAGAGCCGCGCGGGTGAGCAGGTAGAATCGATCCGCCTCTTGGTTGTCAGGAGCAGGTGGAAGATTGTCGTCGACCAATGAGCCATAGCACAAGATGACGAACAAGAGCGCGAGGTCGTGAGGCGTGGCGGCCGGCAAGTTTGCGCTCGCCGCCGAACGCGCGGCCGAATCGGCATCGCCGTAGAATAGGGGGAGAAGCTCTTCATGAAGCTGTCGCTCGCGCACCGCACCGAAGAACCAAGGTGCCTGCTGCAGATATAGCGCGCAGAGCGTTTGTGCACGGTCCCACGGGGGCAAGTAACTTTCGAGCGTATACAGTCCAAGGTGCTGCGTGCTCGCGTCGGGAAATGAGCCGGCTAATTCCGTGACTGCGCGAGGGAGTCCACCCGCGGCGCCTTGCATGCCCGCGCTGGGCGGAGGTGGCGTCGCGCCGGGTTGAGCGTCATGTTCGCCGAGGAGCAAGCTCTGTTAGAACAGTCCGAAATCAGCGTGGGTTCAACCCGCATGGCCGGAGAAGCCAAGACGCGCACCTCCTGCCCGGCCGAGCGCCCGTAGAACGTGCTTCCACCGCCTTCGCGCACGGCCAGCGTGCCAAAGATGTCTAACGCATCACTTGCATCTTCATCCGGGTCAGGCTGAGTCTCGTCTGGTGGTGGTCGGTCAACGGCGGAGTGTAGATCGATCATAGACTTGACCTCCAACAGGTCGCGTGTAAGGAGAGGATGCGGCTCGTCCGTGTTGACATGTAAGGTTGATAGTGCTTCCTCTAGTTGTCGTATACGGTCGCTCATTCCGACGATCTTGGCATGTAGACGGTCTGTATCGGCGAGGACGAAGCTGCGGACAACACATCAGGCTATCGATATGATAATACGTCAAGAGATAATCAGGACGTACCGAGTACCCTGGCCGGTGACGAGACTACCTATATATCAATATTAGCATCATGTCCTAAAATCACGGAGTCCGAGGATGAGGCCGGCCGGGGATCAAGCACTAGTCGTCACAGCAGTTGTAATAGTACACGATCTGCACGACCTCATTCTATACGTAGCTCTCCGATACATGGGTACGACAAGCTTGTAAACGACGTGTACAGTACCACCACCATCGACTACAGTGTATGAAAGCTTCGAGGCCGTGATGTACGGACGGCGAAGTGAGGTCTTCTGTACGAAATCGGGCGTGTCTTCCCGGCGACACACACGCGCCCACACGCACACAGCGCGAAAGAAAGTGCGATTGGGACGGAGTCGTGCCCTCGAGCCTTACGGGCTCTATTCACATAGGTACGCCGGGCCCCGGACTGTGGACGAAGCAGAGAACCAGGGTGCGGGTGTGCCGCAGAAGAGACGATACATATAAGAGCGGGACCAAAAACTTGACCGCCGTTTGGGACCCGACGATGATGAGGACGGGCGCGCTCACCGTTTGGACATATACTTGCGGTCCCTCTGCGCTTGCAGGACGTGCAGGGCACCGTCTTGTCGCATTTGAGCTTCAGTCTGTAGGTCGTTAGCGTGCCCCTTTGCCGTTGTGCCGCTCATCCGCCGCTCACCGTCGACACTCCGCGCATGCGATAGCGCCACGCTGCCTCTTCCACTCCTGGTCGCGAGCTTTGGAGCTAGGCTGCTTGCCGCCGCCACCGCCGCCCTTCTTGTCGCCGTCGGCATCGCGGTCATTGCGAGCAGCGCGCTTGGAGGACATGGGCGGGAGGTACAACCACGACTTTGCTTCGTGTAATCTGTCCCCGCCAGTCTTAAACGTGACGGTGATCTGACAACTTGAGCAGTCGCGCATCCGCCCTCGGTATCTGCCACTTCTCGTCCGCCCCGCCACGATGTCTTCCATTGGTGCTGACCCTTGATTAACTACTGCTCGCTCTGGATGACTGGTCCTCCCTCGGTAGCTTCTTCGCCGCTTCCGGCCTCTCAATCGCTTGGATCTGCCTGAATCTCTGCTTCTCGCCGACGCAATTATGTTCTCGACGCCCTTCCGAGGCAATACGCTTTGATTCCCGCATGCTTCGCCACTCATCGTCAGCGCCGTATCCGTCCTGCTTGCCGGACTGCATGTGTGGCTTGCCTGCACATTCGTATCGCAGCAAAGACCATACCGCAAAAGCGTAAATGCGCCGCGCCGCACTTCCCTTTCCTCGCGCTTTCATCGCAGGCGTATCACGAACTTTCCCTCCATCGCCATCAGCGCCCGGTGAAACTCTTTGCCCCATGCTGACCTCAGGGAAGGCCAAGGGCTACAGCGACGTGAAAGAGCCCGACGCGGACGACAACGAGGCCCTTAGCTGCTGTACGCTGTCTGTTGCTCGGCTCGAGACATCCGACGTCGGTGTCGATTGCCCGCTGAATGCCTATAACGGCTATCCGCTCCGGTCCGCGTCATGCTCTATTCCCGTCCCGAGCGCGCGAAGTGCTAAGCTATATACAGCATCTCTCGCCATAGACATGTGGTCGACCCTCGGACGTCACGGTAGTTTCAAGTTTGGATAGTTCAGTCAACGCGTCGACTTGCTCTTTCGATGACGACGACTGCTACAATTGTCGCCGACCAGGGCCCGCTTTCCGCCAAGCCTTCGAGCCCGCGCACGACACTGTAGACGTACGGGTGGCTTGTTGATTCACTGTAATCACACATGTCGTCTCCCATACATGTCATCTCAAACCCCTCTCGAGATCAACTTGTACACTGTGACGCAAAATGCCTCACTGGCTCCATAACCTGCTGGTCATTGACATATGCATTTGAACACATGGGGTATTCGATAATCCCCATCCAGGGCTCATAAAGGTGCGGGTACGAATGGCTGCCAACTCCGACGATATCCGCTTCATAGACCGCAGTTCCAGATGTTCCCCTTCAATCGAGATTGAAGATCTGCGATCATGCTCAGTATATATGCTATGAGGCTGCTTTCGGAGTGCTCGCATGCTGCTACACGGCCCGGCTGTCAAGCGAAAGTCGGGCGACGGGGCCAGCCTCTGCGGAGCGCGTTGAGCTGGGGTTAGGGTTGGTCAAGACCACTGCTGCGGACGGCACGCTCTTCCGGTGCCACAACGCCACAGCGTCTATTCCAGTGCTGAAGCGCCGATCGATCTGTCATCCTTCTCTCTCCGTCTCAGGAGAAGGGATTGAGGACACGACGATGCTTGAGAACAGCGTCTCGCTGCTTGCAATCAAAGGAGGCGAGAGACAAGCCGTCGCCGAGTCCCCTGATACCGCACCACGCGCCTCATGCCACAAGCTGCGCAATGCAGAGCATGCCCCGCCTCTCCGTTACACCTAGTCTCTTCATTGAATCGAAAGACGCCATACCTCAACGCCTGAAAGTAATGCTCGCAGGCATTGCGGAAAACCTGGCGAGCGAGCCTCCGCGATATTCAGGCATCCTTTCTTGCCGACTCGGAGTTGAGTTCACATCACGCCGAAAAAGGAATTGCCTCCACTGTCCGATGTATTCCAGATCCATCAAGGACCGTGCAAAGACCGTACATGTACACTATAATGTGTGGCAAACTACGGCGGGGTAAACTAAAGCAAAGCGACCGATCACCATCGTACAACCGAGCGCGCGCCAGCAACAGCGACTCCACCGCTCTACATCCAATAAGCATAGGCACATCTAGAAGTTCTCTGCAAGCGCATATCAGTATACAGCATAGAACATAATGTGGGGAGGGAAACGCACCCTTGCCGAAGAAGAAACGGGTGCCCTTGGGCGTCGAGTACTTGTTGCTCATCGTGTGCAACTGCTTCGAAAGCACCGACGGACCACAGAAGAACACACCGACGTCCGTCTCCGGATGCTTCTCCGCAATGCTCGAGAACACCCTGTCCCAGTTCGGCCGACCGAAGTGCGTCGGCGCCCTCAAGTTCGTAATCGAGTCCTTCTCCGCGCCGACGTCCTGCACAATGATGTTGTTCATCTCGTCCTCCTTGAGCTTCTGCGTCAGGTAGATGTTGATCTCGATGCGGTTCTGCGTGTCCTGCTCCTCGATGGCGTGCAGGAGCGAGTGGAACCATTCGGCCGAGCCGAAGTCGCGGATGACCCAGGTGAAGTAGACCTTGGAGAGGCGCGTCGGCTTGGTCGAGTTGAAGTTGTTCATGCGGTACCAGATCGACTTCAAGATCCTGCGAGCAGAGTTAGCGCCTGTGATGGGATCACAGCAATGGAAGCAACGTACGAGGCGAAGGGAGTGACACCGATACCAGCGCCGACGAGCAGCACGGTCTCGTAGTTCAAGAAGTCCTCCGATGCCGAACCGAACGGACCGTCGACCATGACACGGGGAAGCACGCGGTTAAGCGGCGGGTTCGCGTTCGTGCCGATGACCTTTCCGCCGGGACCCGCGCCTCCCTTCTTCTCACCCTTCTTGGGGAAATCGCAGCCGAGCGCCTCAGCAAGCGCGCTGGTAAAGTCACCAGCAACACGGATGTGGACGGAGATGTAGTCCTCCTCGGGTGCGGAGGTGAGCGTGAAGGGATGCCATTGGAAGTACGAGACTTGAGGGACGTTGATGAAGATGTACTGTCCGGCGCGCGTCTTGGTCTTCTCCTTCTTGATCTGGATCTCGACGACGTTCGACGGGTGCTGGATAACCTTAGAGATGTAGGTGCGGTGGCGCGAGCGGATCTCGCGAAGAACACGCTCTGAGATCCAGATGACACCGCCAACAAGCCAGTAGCGCTGTCAAACATCCCATCAGCTTCTTCCCGTCAATCGACGTAGACGGAGATAGAGCTTACCCAGAAGACACCGATGGTGTTGAACGAGCAGTACGGCGGGCGGTCGGGCTGGATCATGCAGAACATGCCGTGGAGCTGCCAGTTGATGAAGAAGACGATGAAGAGGTGGTGGGTGTACCAGAACTTCTCGAAGTTGGCACGGCGGCGCTTCTCCATGGCGTACCAGACCATCACACCGAGTGCGACGGTCATGATCCAACCAGTGATACCGGGACCAGTGGCGAAGTTGGCCTCGAGGAACGCAACGAAGCGCTTTCCGGGCGTGTTCGCGTCGGGGTCGGCAAAGGCCAGCTCGGTGAAGTTGACCATGTGCGCTACGATGTGAACAACGGAGCCGGCGACGATGGACCATGCGGTCGCCTTGTGGAAGGTGATGTTCTTGTCGAAGGGGATGAAGTGGTTGAGCGGCGTGCGGCGGACCATAGAGATGAAGTTGCGGCAGACGGGGAGCAGGATGAAGATCACATCCACGTGCAGGACAAGCGCGGCAGAGCGAGCGATGGCTGTATAGTAAGATCAGATATGTTGTCAAGGACTGTGCGCGGTATACGTACCGAAAGTACGACCGAACGTGGCGTTGGCGCCCACGAGGTTGTCCTTGAGGGTGTAGTGCACCTCGCCGAACGCGTAGACGAGCAAGTGCAGGAAGACCCAGGTGAAGAAGAAGAGACGACGGCCGCCCTCGTTGATGAGCCACTTGTTCCACCTGTCCATCCAGCCGGTGGGCTGGTACGCGAATGTGCGCTGGGTGATGGCCGTTGCCGAGCGCTGGAGACCCTGGAGCCGGCGGCGCTCAGTCTTGTTGCGCTGGAGGTGGCCGGGTTGCTCGCCCGGAGCGTAGTTTGGCATGTCGGGATGCATCGTGAGCGAGACGGGGGCCGTGTCGGCAAAGTCGTATCCGTCTGCGCGAGAGCCCATTGTTTCTGAAAGGTCCGGCCTTGGGGTGTATTGAAAAGAGCGTAAAGAAGTGCGAAAGTTCTTATGTGAAACGAAGGGAAGCGGACGGAATGACAGGAAAAGACAGCAAGCCGGTGCTGGGGCCGAGCGTGGGCTGGAGGCGGTCGGAGAGCTCGCGATGGCGTTGAAGCAAGCCGTTGTTATAGTCCCACAACTTTCTCGCGCGGCCCTCGTCTCGTTCCCAAGGCCACCATCAACCTTTCTTCTTTCCTTTCGGCGCCCGGACGGCTCCGCAGCCCTGACAATGCTCAATACCATCTGGCCAGGGCCAGTCCGACGGCCCAGCCAGGGCACCTCTCTTCACCCTCTTGACCACTGCTCGGACTGTCTCAAATCGAGCAGAAAGCATTGTTTATCTCCCGCTATGTACTTTGGTCAACCTGAGATCTATCACACGGCAGCCTACAAAGATAGCATCATTCGCTTCGGTATAGCACACAGCCGTGGTTCCTTTCTTAGCCTCGTTATAACCGTATGACGCTCGCGCGCAGCTCACGCAGCGACCGGCTATATATGCCTCCCTTCAGCGTCTCAAGCTCAAGGCCAACTTGAAGGGGCATTGTACCTACGGCGACAAGGAAGCGGTAACTTGCGATGATGAACCACTGCGCGCTGACCCTTTTGCGATACATCAGACTACGCTTCCGTCTATGGTAGTCGCTCGGCAACGCTGCCTTGTCTACTGATCATCGCACTGACCCGTCTGTTGGACACTGCAGATAACGAGAATAGGAAGCGCGAAGTGAGATGCGAGACAGAGATCCTTAGCAAGATCGCATCAATATAGGACAGGTATACAAGGGTCCGTGATAGTGATAATCGTAGCCCGACAGTTTCGTTGTACACACGAAAATACATCGCTAAACTGATCTCACACCTCAATGTCCGAGATAACAGGACGATGGTCAGACGCCAAAACGCCGTCGTCCGTGAGATGGTTCTCGACCTTATAGAACGTCGGAGTTCTGGCCACACCCTAGTCAGCTCCATCCCACATATCTGAAAGAAGAAAGGCATGAGACGTACACGCCACCATTGCTCCCACCAAAGATAAAGTCGATATGCGAAAACACGCTCGCGTCCCCTGGCTTGTTGAAACCCGTATACGTGGCCCATTGACCGCCAACATTTACCCTCGGCAGCTGCGTCCTTACATCGTCGAGCACGAAGTCCGACAACGTAGCGTTGTTAATCGGGAACGCTTCCGCGAACGTCTGGTTAATAGCGCTCGGGGCCTTCCCACCCGTAATGACTTGGTAAGCCCCACTGTCCGTGCCGTTCGCAGGCGAGTTGAAGTCACCCGTGACGACGACCGTCGAGCCGTTTGACGCGTCAGAGTGAGCGCGCCACAAGATGAGCGAGGCGCCGAGCTGGCGCTGGGCGTCGGACTGGTCGTCCAGATGCGTGTTCATGTAGACGAAGTGTTTTCCGGTGGCCTTGATCGTGAAGTGGGTGTAGGTCGCGATACGGACTGAGCCTGCACCCGGGAACTTGGAGCCGGCGGTGAACGGGTCGTTTGAGAGCCAGAAAGTGTCCCAGTCTTCGAGCTGGAAGATGTTGCTACGAGTGTGTCAGCTACAATGACAAAAGACCATAGCGTATGTGCGTACGAGTTCCAGAAGATCGGACTGAACTCCCCAGCTGCTACACCGTCGTCGCGACCGACGCCGACCTACTCGGATGTCAGAACGTAGTCGCCAAGACCATACGTAGTGCACGTACCCAGTCCCACTCGTCGCCAAGGAGGGTAGCCATGTCATCGACCTGGCGAACCAAGGCCTCCTGGAAGCCTATCATGTCCAAATTCAGTAATCAAGCGACCAGATGCGGTAAAGCGCTCGCGAATGACGCACCCAGGATCTGCACCTTCTCGCTCACGATCTTGTCGTACACCTTGATCCTACGCGTGCTCCACGGCTGCTCGCCCGACACATTGAAGAAGTTGGGCTGAGCAATGGGGTCCGGCAGACTATCGATAGTCTATAGCAAGCACCAAAGCATCAGCTCAACGCCCGGCGTCGCGACTGTCTCAGACAAACGCGCACCTGGTTCACGGTGATATTATTCGGCATCGAATCGAACCGCAGGTTCCACGTCATAATCCTCAACGGGGTCGTAGCCTGCGCCATGGTGGTCGCAAACAGAGCCGCCTGCAATGACGCAGCGAAAGTGGTGTAGAGCTTCATGCCTGCCAACGGGACGATCGCAGCAAGCGCCGTCAAACGGCTCGGGCTCTGGATTGATATTTATACATGATACGACGTCTTTATGAATGATCCAGAAGCGCAGGGCGAAGAATAGCGAGCGGGTGGGCGTACGAGATAGGGCGCCATGACGGGCGAGCGCGTGTGTGGTTCCTTCGGCGCTTGGGAGGCGCACGTTGGAAAGAAGCGGCGGTGGACGGTGGGCAAGTCGCGTTCTTGGCCTCACGGTCCGCCACATTCCACTGCGCGCAGCTCGCTGATGTTCCCCGTTTGCTGTCGTTCTATCAGACGAATATCCTAGTACTTCGTTGCAGCTACCCGTATATCCCTGCGCGCACGAACGTGCTTACACCGACTATTATTGTCCATGTGCAGTCATCCGACCCAGCCTCCTCGGATAGAACAGCGCTTCTCCCGACGGTCAGAACGCTTCTCTGTCGCTCATCGCTCCGCTAAGGCCTTTCCATACTGATAGGAAGGCTTGTAGGACCTGGAAGTCACACAGCAGAAGCATGTAGGGTGGTCATGACCGTCGTTCTACCTAGTATACCGGCGCGGCCATGCCGTCTTGTTCACAGGGCACAGCATGCAAGAAGCAAGGAGTATACTCGGACTAGGGTCATGCGAGCGTCATGCGTCGTACATCGATAGCACAGAATCTAATCGAAGGCCACTGTCGCATTCGCAAGAGTAAAGATCCACGCGCCCGACGCGACAGAGCCAAATGTGATGCTCTCGCCATCTGCTGTTGCTCCTCCGTCAAACACAGTCTTCGTGCCTTCTACGGTCGCATTGCCGAACACGGTGTCGAACGAGACGCTCGCGTTGAAGTAGTCCAAGTTGGCCGCAAGAACTAGCGCACTTGAGGTGTCTTCGCGCGTCCAGACGCCCAAATCGAGACGATCGTCGGTTATGACGTGCGTGTACGTTGACTTGGGCGACAGGATGAAGTCGGGTACCATGGCAGGCAATGCCTTGGCCAGCGCTGATGATGACGCTTTGATGTCTGGCGTCGTCGGGTCGTTCCACGACACAACACCGAAAGCTCCTATACTCGAATTGAGCATTACGCTTCTGATAATGAATGCATGTATGCCTACCTGCGTTGACTCCCACGATTGCCTCGATGAGCCATTCAGCGCCGGTGGGTGCGCGCGCCCAATATCTAAGGAAAATGATGAGCCCAGCTTCGCGCTTCGCATATGCAGGATAACATACTCTCCGTCGCCGCCAAAGCCCTGAGGGACAGTCCAGACTGTCTTTGAGCGCTCCCATCCAACAACCTCCATCCTCTCGCGGAACTGTGTGACGCGATCCCGGATGTCCTCGAACGACCCCTTGCAGTTGTCGCATCCGCAGTCGCCTTGGATCTCCGTGCACGGCGTGAACCATTCACTACTGAATGTGACGTTGTTTCCAACTTCATAGACATCTTGCAAAATGACGTCGGTTCCAGAGGAGTAGTCTGTCCAGAAGTAGTTCTGACAGTTGAGGACAAGTGATACTGGACGGTAGGGGTCGAGATCTTTGAGCAGGTCGTAGGTCAGGGTCGTTGCGTTCAACGGGTCGGAGGTGCCGTCTGGTTCGTCGCCAGTGTACCAGGTAAGGACATTGGTGCGCGAGCGAAGGGGGGAAACCTCGTCGGACACGTCCGTCAGGTTCATGTACGTCCACCGCATGTCATACATCATCCAGAGCCCGAGTTCCTCCATCTTATCGATGAGCTGTAACAGTGCAGTGTGATTGTCATAAGTCGGAACGGGGTGTATCATATTGAAACTGAGTGCGGAGCAAGCTGTGAGTGATCTTTACGAAACTATGTAGCGAGTCTGAATGACGCACCCTTGCTCGGCCAGGATCTCCACAGTCGTATCGTTGCTCTCCAGGTATCCTCCGAAGTTCGTGTAGAAGCCGAATGGGAAGACAGCCTCGTAGGCGCCCTCACTGCCAGTCGCTTTCGCAAGGATCCCACCCGTGCGAAGATCTCGCTTCGCGACGTTTCCAAAGTCATTCGGCGAGGGAGTTGGAAGATATGTGAGATTCGAAGTGGAGCTGAAGGTCTGGTCTCCGACTGAGCCCGCGCATGAGAGTGTGTAGGGTTCGATGCGAGGCATCAACCCCTCCAGCGAGAACGGCAGGCTCGCTGTGCCGTTCAGCGCAACGGTGCCATTCGCTACGATGTTTCCATCAAGGGATACGGTGACATCCAGTGTCTCTAATGGATCTTCTGGTAGCGTGAGGTCCTCCGCACCGGCGATATGCGAGTATCGGACGAGCGCGTCAACGAGGATGACCTCGGCGTCGGTTGTGACGTCGTCGGGAAGGAAGGGTATCAACGCTGGAGAGCAGCGCAGCGCGAGCAGGGGAGTAGACGAGGATGCGGGTGTAGGGAACTGGCCGCCTGGGGGCACAACCGTCGAGGTGTTCATGTACACTTTCCCGCACCATGTCGGATCTTGAGCGTGGACGGCTACCGCGGCGAGCACCGTCACCCACAATGTAGTGACAAGAGCAGCCATGATGACCGTTGAAAGTCAGCCTGAGCTCGCGAGCTGTGAGGCCATGAGGGAACGCTGTGTGCATTGATAAAGAGCTTCTAGTGTTCTAGGACGCCGAGCACATGGAGCAGATTGGCTGCATGATCATCGCGCCCGCGAAGCTCGCCCTCATGATGTATCTTCTATCTATGCCGGTCCACATGTTTTCTCCGTAGCAAGACGAGTCCCATTGGAGTGCGCTCAGATGATATAGCAGGAAGGGACGATGTGGAAAGAGGTGGTCGTCAGTGGTCACACGAGTGCAGGCTGCAGTGTGTGCTCGGAAGAAGCCGATGACTGTCACGGGGATCTCGGGGAAAGACGGCTCGTCGTGGCGCACTTGCTCTTGACCACCACCAACATCGCACACAATGTTTTCCATTCAACCCTCCGCATAACCAGTGCCGCTTTGAGGTGCAAACGTGATACGATTACCGAACGAGTTCGTTTGGCACTATTCTAACTGGCGAGGATGAAACCTAGGCGTATACATTCTCGCTACGGCATGTACATCTCGCATCTCTCCCCGCAGAAATGTTGAGGGCCAATATGAATAAACTGGCTCTACCTCTGTGACAAAACGAGATGTGTCTCTGGTTTTCTACGGCAGTGCACGGGGATCTGCGATGACTCCAAACCTCTTTTGGCGCAGTGGCCTGCCTGGTGGCTCCCCGAATAAGGACACTTCCCCTTCAGGCCTCAAGTCACAACAACGCAAGTAGCTGGAGGAGACGCTCTCTCCTTCAGGTTATACTTTCTCTGCCCGAAGATGGCCGACGCGCGCGTAATGACTTCCCCTTTGGGGCGAACTTCACAGGTGTCATGGTTCGGAGGTATCTAACTATTTCGAGAGCTGTCAGATCTCTTGAGCTTGCCCACTCCAGCTCTCTCCGTGATGTACGGACCGAGGTATCCATTCTTCGCCTGAGTAGATCAGTACTAAACCCCAGTTGGTGGACTAGGGATAACGTGCGACCCGGGAATTAGCTGCCCGAACACCCGTATCAAGCGGCTTCGCCATAACACTGGTCCACGCCATGGACTACTCAGGGTGCAATCACCTTCGGCGGCGTACCATTGACAACCTTTCACGTAAACTGACAGAACCTTCACAGTATTGCGCAAGTACGACAGACGTGGTTCTAGTCAGGGCATCCTGCGTTCTGACGGACGACGAGCTGTAACTCACGATGGTGGGTTGAGCGCTGCATGTATCAAATTTGAGATATCCTCTACATACAGAGACCCCTGTACATCGGAATACTGTTTGAAGAAACCATCTAGGTGCGCGTTGATCGCTGACTGGTCCTGGTACCGTGCGGGAGCTATCACTTCGGTCTAGCGTCACCGATGTGCTGGGGGTTCCTCCGTACAATCCTAATGAGTTGAGCTCACATCGCACTTAGAGAACGAGTGTCCACGTCGCTACCGTATCGACTCGCATCATTCTTGGAGTACGTATACCAGGTTCAAACTCACTCGTGCAGTCCAAGGTGTTCGTCTTGACGTAAGAACGTGTACTGCAGGCCTATAAGCGACACTTACTGTCCACAGAGAACCATCCCGTGACCCCCAACGCTATCGACTTGCTTCGCCATCCAGCCTCGTCAGCTGCGATCCGCGCGCACAACCAGTACGTCGCCGCCGCCGTGAAACCCGAGCAGAACCGGGGCCCGCCCACCTACGCCACCTCGAATCCCGGGCACATGGACGGAGCTGTGGCCTCGCAGGCTGTCCGGCGTCTAAGCTGCACCTGTCTTTCCCCGATGCGGCACCTATAAAGTACTCAATCATCGATATGCTGTTGGAACAGACTGTGGTTGGAAGGCGGTGGCGCGATAGCCCTAGGTTCGGGCGCTTAAGCGCTCAACGCTTGCTTCCTCCTCGCCGACTCGCAACGATACATGCGTACTAGCGTGAGTCGACTAGCTATGGGCGCCCACAGTACGTCAAGCTCTATCCACATGAGGGAGCGGTGAGCTCGAAGTCACAGAAGGTCTCAGCAATGCCGAGCGGGACCGTGTGAGCTTACCATCATGAGGGGATGATTCGGGGTTTGAAGAGTTGTCGAGTAAACGTGCCTTTAATTGGGCAGGGGTCCAGTGTACGATTAGATGGTGGTAAAGTAAACCGGGGAGAACATGAAAGCAAGCACACGACAGAGACAGCTGGAGGGGTACAGATGGAGGTACAGCACGAATACATGTTCAGTTCGGGTTGGAATCGGTAAGCGCGACATGCGGAGTGTATAGGTTAGTCACGGTGAATAGGAGGATGGAAGCGTAAGTTTATGGCAGGGCTTGGCTCGCAGTGCAGGGCCGTGACGCTTTGTGCAGGGATTATTCATCTTGGTCGGGGGGACGCTGAGCGCCATCTCCGTAACTTTCAGGCGGAGGCGGTGGACGTTCACCCATGACTTGCATGGCCATCGCGGGATCGTCGACTTTCTTCCGACGTTTCCGTTCGGTTTCGCGAAGATTGAGGCGTACACCGAAATAAGATAGATGCTGTAGTGATGTGTGTCAGAGTCAATGTCAGCGAAGTGCTTGTGAGGCATACCTTGGTGAGATCAGTCGAAGCACGTAGACCAGGGAACTCCTTGGTCGAGTACACTCGGAAAGCACCACCATAACACTCCGCCCAGACCGGTGTTTGCTGTTCACCAGCGACCTTGGAGAACAGGTCGAAGCATCTATAGCGCAGTATAAAGTTCCCCTCCATCTTTACGGCGAGATCCTGTGCGGTACAAGTACGACGTGGTTTGTCAATGCTGTGCCATGCCTCGCTGTCAGAACAAGACGCACCGCGAATACAAACATCAAGACTTTGTTCCCCTTATAGTCGAGGTTTTGCGCCTGAACGAACGTGGTGCCGGCAAGGCAGTCGGTGCATTTGGAAGATTCGGTGACAGCGTAGTCCTTGTGGTAATGTACAATGTCCGTGGGAGGTGCGATGGGCTGAGGAGCAGGTGCGCCGTATGGTTGGTGTATCGGGCCGGGTGCGGTGGACATGGTTCCAGGTGGAGGGGGTTGGGGGGCAGGGAAAGTATATGCGAAAGACGTGGGAGCGGTGGCTGAGAAGGAAGAGGTGCCGGGGACTTGGTTGGATCCACCGGGGGAGCCGTATGAACCAGACGCCTCGGGCCTGCGAGAAGAGTCTGCCGAAGTCTCACCGGGAACGGGAAACAGGTCTACATGGCAAATGAGCCCCATATTCTGGACTTCGCTGCCAGACGCGTACCCGCGTTTAGTCGCGCGTGCGCGTTTCAACATGAATGGAAGACGTACCCGTAATCCTCAACCTCCTGTTCCACCGCCTCCTCCCCGGTCCCATTGATCAGGAATAAGCGCAACTGCACCACTGGTGGTGGATCTAATGGTCTGCGATCCTTGCGCGCATATCTTTCCAACCGAAAGGTCGCGTAAACACGGTGAATAGCGCGTCAGATGACGAAATACGCGTACTTTCTTCCAAGATCGGCCTTTTGCAATTCAACTAGTTGCGCCCGAACGTGTCTACCATTGAACTGTCCACTTGTGAAGTTCAGTGTTGTCCCGATCGGGCGCGTCGAATTCGCTGCGGCCGCGCGTGCCTGCGAAGAATCGCTTCCGCCGGGAGGCGCGGCTTGCGGTTGGTGCACATACGGCGTCGGCGTCGCAGAGAAAGTCGACTGTTGACTCCACATTGAGCGGCTGGTGGGGAAGGAAGAAGTGCGCCGGGCTTAGAATTCAGCGGAGGTACTTTTAAAGCCCTGGGATGACACGCGGAAGAGGCCCAAGCATCTGTCATTTCATTATCCTGGCGCCTACGACCTTTATGTACCCGTGTTTCGCTACCCAGGAACATGGCGGCCGTATCCAAGTCGCCGGCGGCATGACCGGCGGTTCACCCCAACGGCGCCCCAAGTGCCTTTTGTCTCCCGCCCCCATGTTCTTCGTGTCTTTGTCGGGGGTATTCTGCCAACAATGATAGGCTATCCTCTCCTTGGAGGCTGTACGAGGTGACCGCATTCGTTTTGATAGGAGTCTGCTATCGTGGTTCAGCGGTACCGCGGGATTGTGCAGGAAAGCCTCGAATGACTCCGTCCTGATACACGGCGCCTGCGTTACGGGACAACGCCGACTGCACCCCATCGTGTGGGCACCGCGTACCCTTCCATCAGAATCAGACGCCCTTGCTGGATACGGGTATGATCGCTTGACCCGCTCGGGCCTGGCAGCCCTCGACCATTCCCCCGTTTGTCCATTCCACCTCTCCAGGTGCTGGTTGCTGTCCGGTCTTTCCGGACGTGTTCATACTACGCAACTCCGCCTAGACCACTGCGGTCGCGCTCAAGCGCAATTTATGGCGAAATCGGGTTGCAATTCGGCCGCGGAAGGCTGTGCATCTTGAAGACATGACGCCCGGACCAATATTCCCGCGAGAAGCACCATCCGCGTCTACCTCAGAGCGCTCATCCTTGCTCTCTTTTGCTGCCCTTTGCGTTTGACAAGGACGTTCAGAACAAGCCCAGGGCCTTGTGGTGTCACGAGCAGGTCTCAACTTTCCGCCCGCCTTCCGTAGCGGACGAAAGTTGGGCAACGCTTGGACAAAAGTCGTTGTATTCACCCGAGCATCAACTCTGCAGCGGAAACAAGGTTCCCTTCGATCGTCGTCGGTCGACCAGCACGGAAGCAGCTCAATCGGTAAGACCGCTTTTGTCTGAGCATTACTTTCCCAGCTCCCGTACACGGATTCCCTTCGGCGTCCTGGAGCAGCAACGTTCGCACTCCCTCACCTGCCAGGCATAGTGCGCCTTGGGGATCCGAGTAACCTGCTGTGCTTGTACCCTCGATTGTACACACCAAAACCGGCACACGGAACGAGCAGGCACCCTGCACACGGAGAACTATGCGCGCCACACTCGCACCCTTCACGTGCCTATCCGGTCGCCCGGCAGCCGGCTATTCCCCTGAAGCCATAGTGCTGGGTCAGCTGCGGCCATGGTGCCGGATCGACGCCCATCCCCCACTTGCTCGAGCAACGACGTTTGCGGGTCTCCCTACAACAGCGCTACTTCCTCCTCCCCTCTGTCGTGGTTACATATCTATCGCAACCTCAAGCAGTCGATCGTGAACTGCGGCGGTGGAGGACCCGGCACACGGTTGCTTCGGCCCTGTGAGCCGACGATCACTGTACGTTTTCCTGTTCGATCTCTTTGGGATGACGCAAAGCGTTCCCGCCGCAGCTTCTGGGAAGATAATCGGCTCCGCCGAACAATACCGATTTCTGTCCTGTTCGAAGGGACATGTTATCTCAAGTGTTTTGGCGATGTGCAGTACGCTCGTCAAGCCGTGCGAAACGCTGTTGAGTGCCATCAAAACCGTCGATTTTACATCTCTGACCACGATGTGCAGCGGCTACATTCGTCAAGAAGGCATAGGCACCCAGCGGCTTGAGCATCTTCGCCGGACTTCGGACGTTCGAATCTTCCTCCCTCATGGGCGAGAAACCGCCAGGTGCAGGTCTATCGACACGGGCTGCCGCCTCGCAAGGTGGTCGGAGCTGTCGAGAGTCCGTTCCCCTGGTAAGGCAGCGCCTCTCCGCCCCCGTTCTGGACAGATACCCTTCCGCGTGTTAACTCTGCAGCCGCCTATTTCCCGTTCAGCTGCACCGCGTGCCCTTGTCTAGATCCATGCATCCTTGTATCCATGTCTCGTGCTTCCATCGCCGAATAGCCCTATCTACTCGGTGTCCTCTTCATTCTGCGCTCTTCTCAATCATCAAGCCACTTGTCTTGGGCCATCTCACGATTCGTCTTTCGAACCCGGACAGGCGCGCCTTCTCCGTCTTCCGTGCCATCGGTAAGCTCGTTCCCTGTAGAATCGACGCCTCGTGACGCCCAAATGCGCCTCCATTGCGCCACATGCCTGCGGCAGCATTGCGTACCAGTGAGAACCGTGTGAAGCGCATAGGCTCTTTCGCCAGGGCCCTGCAAGCCTGTGACCATCTCAGTGGAGAGGGAAGGCTTGCCTGCAGGCTTTCGCGTGCACAGGAACATAGCGCATTGTATGATCGTATGAGACGTCGTCCTGCGCCCGTCAGATATGCGCAGGCCTACGTGCTTCTAGTAGGATTGGAACGGCCAAAGACGTACTGTCAATGATACCTTTCTTGTCCGTTTTGTCTCCTGGAAACCCTCCCTGAACGAACGAGCGAGCTGTGCAGTGTTCTTTGGGCATATCAGTCTTCCTCTCTATCGAGAAGAAATAGGATCTAGCCGAGTACGTCAAGTAACCGCCTTCAGAAGGTGGTCGGTCTTTGACGTGTATGCTACATGCGCGCTTCTGTCCCGGAGCTGGAGGAGCTGATCATCTCCGGAGAGCGGGAATCTGCGCGTTGGAATCTCCCAATCCCCGTCCCTTCGCGGCCATCTCCAGGACGAGGGAGCAGTGCGGCCGTCCATGGTTCATGAGTATGGGAAATCATCCAGGTGGCTTTCATTCATGTCAAGGGACGAGGAGCCTTCATTCTGACGGTTGTGTCAAATACAATGCTCGGAAGCATGGTCCTGACCCCGTTGATGTAGAGATCAACGCGCGATCGAGTATCGCTCGCCGTGTTGTTGCGTCGAACGTGGTCAACAAGGGGTCGAAGAAGAACTGACGACACTCGTGGAACGTACCGGATTGTCACCAAGCACAGTGCTTCTGTTGCGTTCCTGGACGGCCACAACGGCGAAGTCGGCATCGTCAGTCTGCCGCACGGCATTGTTCAGTGGACCAATCATTGTAGACGAGGACTCCTAGTGAGGGGGAAGAACAGCACTGGCAGAAAGATACGGCCTATGCTAATCATCATGCAGCTTCGGATGCCTGCTTTGGGTTCGCGGACACGGTCTCCTCGTTCATCTTCCTCTGCGTTTCTGCGAGATCTCGTCGCGTACTGGGCTCACGCTCGCCGCATTCGAGCGCCCAGACGATGTCAACGCTGGGTCAGCGCGTAGTAGCCTCCACTACGAAACCCAGCGCCAGATCGTACTCGCCGGCACCGAAACATATCAAATACGCAAGCAACCAGTTTCACGCACGTGAACATAACATGCAAAGAGGCTGAGCGCCAAATCTGGTTAACATCGCGTTAGGCGCCTATTCGCACACGACGCATGCGGCGCCGAACAGAGTCCGCAGCCACTTCATCTTGATTTCTATCTTGCTCCCCACCCGCCACTTGTGCAAACGCGGAGAATAGCGTGTACGTGTACGCATTGTGCCTGTGCCGAGTCTGGCAGGCTTTGTTCTCTCGAGCAGAGTTTTGAGTTTGCCTCGAGTATGCCGCGCGTTGGACGCGAGGCGGCGATGTCGAATCCGGTCTATCGTTTGTCGGACAACGATGTCGGGAGCGAAGTACGGGAGACGTTCTTGTTCGCATCTCAGCGCGGGCTACAACGAAAACTGATGAGTACCTGACCGATCTTGAGGCGAGACGCTGGACCAAAGCGCACCTGTGGCGTACACCTCATCGCACACGCTTGAGATGAACGGGCGCGTTCGGGGCGCGTGGTACACCTCACACTTAGCAATCCAGTTCTGCAGTAGAACGACTACCAGATTCTCGTAGTCCAGCGAAGCGCATCGCCATATACCAGTCTTCACACCATCGCTTAGGATCGAACGTATCGGGAACGAAAGCGCAGTATTACAATGCGTACGCGTACGAGACATCAACGGGTCATTTCAATCCGTAGCCATAGCGAATAGCGGGGGGAATCATGTCCATGACATCGAAAAAGAGTAAAACGGACAAAGAAGCGTGCATGACATGACTAGAGACGAAAATGGGAGAAGAAAAAGAGGTAAATGGGGTAGCGGTGCGTGCGGCCTCAAGCTAGTAGCTGATATAAGGTCCGTCAATGAGATGGGTAAAGTTGATCAGCGGCGACGGGCGGTGCGTGAAGGGGTGGAATGGAGGTTGAATACAAGAGGAGGTTGAAAGAAAGCGCGCGCCGCGGTCTAGTTCGTGGATGAGGAAGCCCCCGAGGCTGGCCAGTCAAAGACGTGGATATAGTCCGAATGGTACACAATGCGTGGTTATATATACGAGACGGGATGAGAGAGCGTTCATTGAGCCTATAGACTCTTGCACAGCTCGCAGTTGAGCTTGATCGTGTCGCCGAGAATCGGCGGGACTGCGACGAGCGCGATGAAGATAGCGATGACGGAGAAGTACACGGGGGTGTACTTGATGATCTACGGAATGGGTCGCACATTAGCAAACCACTCATGATAGAGCGCAAGAGGAAAGGACGTACGATTGACCTGCGCTGCTTGCGAACCTTAAAGTTGTAAATCGGCGCATGGATCTGCTTGCTCGGCCTCAACCAGAACAACGCAATGGCGTGTACGCGGTCGAAGTACGGCACGAGGACCGCAGGCGTAAGCATGAACAGCAAAAAGTGTCCGATCAAGAAGTCGGACGTCCACAAGCTGAGCTCGATCATCTTGACGACGTACTCGCGCGCGGGCTGCGAGAACGCGTGCGCGCCGAGACCGCGGCCGTACCACTTGCCCGTCCACCATGCGCGGTTCGTCTCGTCGTGCTTGAACTCGCGGGAGAGGACGAGGGAGATGATGAGTTTGTGGACTGCGCGTTGGACGGCGACGATGGCGAGGAGACCGATGACGACGTGCGAGCCGTTCCAAAGCTCGAGAACCCACTGCGCATGGACGCATCAGCACATCATCCTTAGCGCGACAGATCGAGGAAGACTCACGAAGAACTCGAAGAAACCGATCATACCCGCCATACCAAGGACATGGGCCAGCGTCGCCATGACACTACCAAACCTCGTACAGCAGCTATCCAACATCGGCCCAAACATCAAGCTGACAAAGAACAGCACGAGCAACACCACACCGTTCCACACGATCGGTCCAAGGGACACGACGGCGATACGGATGAGCGGGCTCGGCGGCGTGACGCCGTCCACGGGGAAGGACTTGACGAACATATACGCGATGACGAAGAGGATGGCTTGGGCGACGGGCGCGAGGACCTCGGATACGAGCACGGCGCGCCAGCCCGCGCGGGGCGTATCACCACCGAGCTTCTCGGAGGGACGGCCGAGTTTCTTCTTCTTGTAGCCCGTGATCATTGTGCGCGAGAGGCGGCAGTAGCCGATCCACGAGTTGGAGTGCGAGCGGCTGTTACCGCGCGACATCCAGCGCAAGAACTCCCTATACAGCATGTAGTCAGCAACGACTCTTTCGCCAACCTGAGCGGAAGAACGTACCGGTAATCCACGATGAAGTCCGTAAATGCGAACTGGTGCGGGTTGAACAAGAACGGCGCGATGCACAGCGCAAGAATCGACACCCAGAAGTAGATGATGTACGGCGTCCAATAACTCAACGTCACATAAAGCAACATGAGCAGCGTCCTCATCCCGAGATAAATGCTCGGCCCCGCGAACCGGCTGAACAAGATCGCGAACGATATCCTGCTCGTCGCGAAGCCGCGTCCGGTCGCGATATACCGAGCGCCTCCGAACGTCAAGTTGTTGAGAATCGAGTGCGTGTAGATCTGCGTCGAGAAGACCTCGAAGACCGGCGAGAGCGACATGAACTGTTTGCCAAGACGCACGATAGCCCGGCCCGTCCCGCGCTCGATGAGCTCCTGCATGAACAGCGGCAAGAACGCGATCATGAAGACGAGGAAGATCGAGATAATGCAGCGCTTGATCCACTTCGTAACGTCGATCAAGTCGTAGCAGTCGCCCTGATTGCCCAGCAGCGCGCCACCGGAAGAGTACTTGCAGACGGTAACCGACGAGTTGAGCGTGCCGAGGAAGACCATGGTGAGGACGAAGACCTGGACCGACAAGATGACGAGCATGTTGTTGATGTGGAAGCCGGGGTGACCGTAGTAGAACGTGAGGAAGCGGTCGATCGGCAGCTGCGTCCCGAGGTAGTAGTACTCCCTCGACAACATCTGCTCGCCCATACCCGTCCCGATCTTGGTCTGGAAGTTGAGGATGGTGCCGAAACCGAGGTCACGTCCTTTACCGCACTGGTAGTACTCGATGTGCTTGATCCATCCACCGCGCCCGAAAGCGTTCATACCGGCGTAGATATCCTCGTTCAAGTGCAGACCCTTCTGCGCCTTCGAGATACCGCCACGCGTGTTCATGAACGTCGCGTTCAAGAAATCCGGATGACCGTAGTGCAGCTTTCCACCGATGAACGCGAGCGAACGCGCAGCGAGAGTACCGAACGTCTGCTCCTTGCCAGCGGCGATATCACCGAGAATACCGATGTTCTCCGAGAAGATGTACTCGCGCGCACCAACGATGGCGACCGGAGCCTTGGCAAAGTCGCGCTTAGACCACGCGGCGTACGGAGACTGCTGGTTCGCGCGGAGCTCCTCGAACTCGCCCAAGATGTTACGGATCTTCAAGCACTCTTCGAGGTAGTTGTCCTGGTTGGCGTCGATAAGCTGGAGGTACTCGCCGCGGTAGAAGATAATCGCGTGGTTCTGGTTGTCGCTCTTGCCGTCTCCGAGAATGGGGTTGCCGGGCAGCTCGATACGGAACTTAGGCCGGCGGCGTCCAGTCGAGGGGTCGAACTCGGAGTGACCGTCGATGAGCGCAGAGAACAACCGCGGGTCGCCGCCGTCCTTCCTCGCTTCCTCGTCCAGGTACGCAATCTGCAGTTCCGGGTACGCGCGCAGCAGGAACTCGGCGTTCTCCTGCTCCTCCTTGTTGAACTTGGCATAGCGCTGCATCGAGACGACAAACTTGAACTTGCGGCGGGCCATGCGCTCAAGCTCGCGTTCGAGTCTGTCCGTGTTACCACCGAACATCTGAACGACCTCGGGGTTCTCGACGCGGTAGAGGAGCTTGATAGCCTTGGCGTAGTTCATCATACCGGAGACTGTGCGGTAGAGCGTCTGGAAACGGAGACTGGCCCAGATACGGGTACGGAGAGTGAACTCGGGTGCCGCGCTCTTGAAACCGATCATGTAGAAGGGCAAATCATCCGCCTTGCTGCCGCCCGGGCCCTTCTCGTCGCCGAAGGGGCTCTGTCCATCGTACAAGTCCGACTCGGCCGCGAGGATCTTGGTGTCCTTGACGAAGTTCTCCCATTCGACCGTGTGAAGCTGCTTTAGGTACTCGAGGAGCGTAACGCGCGAGTTGGCATCGCTCTCCTTGATAATCTCGCGCAAGCTGAGTAGGATCTAGACGTCGCGATGTCAGCAACCCGACATTCCTTTACTGTGCACAGATCAACGTACCTTCTCGGAGTAGTGCGGGGTGAGCACCGTGAACGTGGGCATAGCATCAACCGGCAGCGCCTCAGGAAGCGCAGTCGTAAGACTCTGCGCAAAGAAGCTGATCCTACGCTCCGCCTCAGATCCAGGTGGGAAGAAGTCGCCCTTATAGCTCCCATCGGTCTGCGCAATGAAGAATGGCGGTGCCCTCAAGGTCCTGTGGCCATCAGCCGTATCAACTTGGTGGTAGAGCAGCTTCTGAACGTGGTCGATCGACAGCAAGTGCTCGCGGTACATCGAGATGATGATGGCGTTCCAGATCTGCGATACGAGGACCTTGGGTTTGTACTTGACTTCCATGTCGGACGTGGCGAGGATCTTGGAGTAGACGCGCTTCGGAAGACGAGCGTAGATGTCGCGCCAGGGCGTCCAGATAGAGAGACCGAGAGCGAAGGACCGTGCGATACTGAGGTTGTGTCAGTGACGAGAATGTGTCAGACGATGGATGAAAGCTGACCTGTAGACCGTGTTCCAGATAATGTACCACAAGAATGTGTCCAAGAAGAACAAGACGAGGTCCATGATGTACATGATCGTAAGAGTGAATGTCGCCTGGTTCCTGCACAGCGCATTGCCGAACAGCTTCTCCTCGCAGTTGTTGATCGTGACGCCCGCCATGGCCTTGATAGGATCGCGGAACGACAAGGTCAAGAAGAAGTAACTCTCCGTGAACTTGCATCCAAAGACGAGAACCCAGAGCAAGACGGAGCTGATGCGCGCGGGGCGGCCGAGGGCGGGGTAACTGGCGGTGAATGTCTGCGAAGCGAGGTACTTCCGGCTCTTGCCCGCAACGCGGTCACCGAACATGCGCCCGGAGGGAACGATGGCAAAGAGTAGTGTTGCGACGACCGAGATGAAGAACTGCACGATGCCGAGGATGAGCGCCAGCTGACCTCCGGCAGAGTCGCCGTTCTCCGCGATAGCGATGTAGACCGTGGGACCGGCGGTAAGACCGAGTGTGACGAGTAGGAAGAGCATCCGGCGTGTCAAGTGCGAGGTGTTGTTCCACGTTGTAGGGATGTAGCTGTATTCCGCGAGCGTAGCGAGAAGCATGATGACCGTCGCGACGGCACCGCCAAGTGCGGTGACCGACCATGCCAAGGCGGACGAGCTGTGCGTCTTGGGCTCCCAGACCGTGGGCGAGTTGTACGCCGTGTAGAACCAGTATAGGGCGATGTGAACGACCCAAATACGGTTGAAGTTGACGAGCAAGTGACCGAAGGAACGCTTCTCGTAGTACGTCTTGAAGAAGACCCGGTTCCAATCGATGCGGTCGAAACGCATAAAGCGCTGTGCGGGCGGCAAGTCCACAAGACGGGTCTTGTCCTGGAGGACTATCCGTGCGATGCCCTCGGGGTACCAGAACAGCTGGTTGACGTCGTCATACCCGATGATGTCCTGGTGATCACGCTCGCGGCGCACAAACTTGTTGTCGATGACCTCGTATCCCTGGTCGCGGATGAAGCGGTACAACGGCTTCACGACTGCGCGGAGGTAGAGGCCTTCGGGGACTGGGTCTACCCGATTCTGGCACTCCGGACTGCGATAGTAGTCGTCCGCGCACTTGAAGATGAAACACAAGCACTCTGGCACGAAGCGGACTTGGGCAGCCTCGCCCCAGCAAAGCAAGAACAAAGCGATCTGGCGCATGCGGTCGTACTGCGACATGTTGTTCATCGCGATCCGCCAGCGTTCCAAAGCGCCCTGGAGCGACTTTTCGTGACGCGCCCTTCCTTTCTTGGACTTCATGCGGTTCAGGCCCGGGTTCTGGGTCTTGCCGATCGCATCGTCGAGGTCGAGCTGGGCGGCAAAGTACCATTTCCGGTAGTTCGCATGCGGGCCACCGATATAGTCCGCATGCAGCGTCAGCAGCGCCTGATTGGGCGGCATTCGGCTCGCACGGCTGTCGAGCAGCTGCATCGTAAAGTCGAACTGTCAAAAAATGATCGTCAGGCGCTAAGAACTCTGACATCAACGACATGAAACGAACCATGTTGCGCATCGAGTCGCGCTGGAAGCCGAACTTCTGCTGGAGATCGAGGAAAATGTCTTCGATTTCCTCTTTGCTCAACGGGATCTGCCTGTCGGCGCTCCATGCCGGATAGGGCTCGCGTCCCTGGTCGTACTGGTTGGCGCCGCCAAAGTCGGCAAAGGGCGGGCCGGATGCGTAGCCGCCCTTGGGTCCGCCAAGCGACTCTGCCGAGGGAGCGCCCGGCTGGCCGTAAACGTCTCCGCCACGCTCAGAGTCGGTGTCCGCGTGATGGTATGGGTCCTCGTTGCCATAATATCTGTCGTGCTGGTCGAAGGAGCTGTCTGAGGCGTAGGTGTCCCTCCCGCGTGGGTCGCGGTCCGCATCGTCGTAATAGCGCTGGTTGAACGGGTCGACCACGTCCCCGGGCGGGGAGTAACCCTCTGCGGACCCGCTCGCTATCGGGTGTTGCCGAGACATCGTCGACTGCGTGGACGACGGCGAGGGCGAGGTGTGGGGGGAGCGAGGTGGAGGGTAGAGCTGGTGGGGGTGAGAGCGAAGTTGATTTCAAGCGCGCGTCTAATCCGCTCCGCGTCACACAGACCAGCACACGGGCGGTGTTCTCAACCCGGCATCCATCCCCGTCTCACCTGCTCTTCACCCGTAGTATATCCGCAACGTAGTAAAGTCATATAGCTCTACTGTGCCGCTACCGTACGCGCCGTGGCTGGTTAGGATCGCGCAAACAAAGCTCTACAAAATAAACAATGACGTCTTGGCCGCCTGGCAACAGCGCCCGGCCTCGCGGCTTCCATCCGCAGCGCTCTCCCACTCCTCGAGCTCGCAGCTTCCTCCCACCGCCCGCTGCCTCGAGTCTTCCTCGACTACAGTACCCCTAACTTCCTACAGCCGTTCATCCATACCCGTCCCGCTCGATTCTCCTCTCAGTGTTGCTGTGAGCTGCTCATGCGTGTCGAAGGGCATCCCAAGCCGCCGTGCCTCGCCGAGCACGCCGCGCATGCCATCCTTTCGCCTGTTCCTCTGTTCCGGGCGCATGTATTGGAGCCGCCCTCGGCCCTGTGCTCTCGGTTGGTCTTCTGCCCCCTCGTCCTGTCCACTTGTGTCAGGCCGTGTACGCAAGCGCAGTCCTCGCGCCTTTTTTCGAGGGTGGCACCCGGGCGGCTTGAACCCGCTCCGGCCGGGCGCAAACGCTTTGAAATGTCTCGCGTCCTTGGCGACGAGGTTGCCTTTCGGCGCAACGGTATTGCTTACTCCAGGAGTGCACTATCGCAGTACTACGTTGCTGTAAGATAAGAGCATCGTTTGCGGAGATAGGAATGCGGATTCAAGCTGAACGGTACAGCTTTGTGGTGTTCAACACCCGACGCTCGCGCTTAGTGCTTGAACTTTGCTTACTGCGCGTAGTAAACGAGGACAACGTTCTCATACGGGCATTGGCATTTTCCAGCGTCTCACATAGGTCTCACGATGTGCATTTAGAGATCTTGAAGATACCCGAGTAGAGCCGGCGGCGAAGAAGCTCACTTGGAGAGCAGTGCAAATCTCGAAGCCAAAGAAGCGGGAGCGGCGTTCAGGCAGGTACCTGATTGTGCAAGATATTCGGGTTAACATTGGAGAATACATTCGCAGCGCTCGAAGCTGCGTAAACCTACTTGCAATCCGCGACTGTCGACAAGCCAGCTGGGTCATCTTATCCATTGGCACGCTTCGACCGTACAATGTCTGTGGGCGCATATGGCCCGCCAATCCGAAGATGAATGCAGCTTTGAAGATGCATGGAGGGTGCATTCTCGGTTAGTGGCTATGCGTGTGATCGCCACTCTGACGTCCATTGTCTCCTGTATTGGGTCAAGGGCGTCGGGACATGTACGGAAAGTCATGAGCCCAATCATCGTCACGCTTTAGTTGCTACTATACTCTTATACTGATCCTTCCGTGTAGTTCCCGTGTAAAGTATGTCATAGCGACCACAACGGGAATGCTTTTGCCTGATAGTTTAACAGAGAGCGCACTTCTGAATGTGTGTATCACTATCTCTTTACTCAAGCAAGCACAGTGAGTGCATTTTTGGCACGTTCGCTTGTCAATTGTCAGGACTCTAAGTCTACTCAGCAGATGGCGCGGCTTGAAAGCTTGTAAGGCGTCGACAGGATAGTATCGTGCGCGCGCAAAGACTGCCTGAGCGACGTGAACCGTCTTCCATCTGACCCTGACATGCAGCCTCCACGTTTCCTCCCGTGGGCACCCCCGGTCGCCCCAGTGTGCATAGGTTACCAAGGACGACCATCGCATGCCATCAAAGGTTCGCAGGCCCCACCGCGGGAGCGCACACTACACAGACAGATCGGAAGGCCGCCTCAAGTAATACTCGTGCCACAAGGGTCGCACGCGCCAGGCTCACTTCTAGCTGACCATTGGCCCGCAAACACCGCCAATAGTGTCGATCTACGAGCAATCTCCTATACCCACGGAACCGATGTCGCAGGTGGACACAGGGCAGATGGGACCGATCCAGCTACGAAGCACCGCCGGTTCCCCACAAAGCTTCGCGCCGATTGGCGACTCGAGGCGAACACGAGTCCAAGGTCATCCGAGTATCTTCGCCGGTGGCAGGACAAGAGGAAGGACGGTATGACGCATTTCGTAGCTTTGCCATGAACAGCTTGTAGGTCATATCCGGCGATAAGACGTTGCATCTTGACGAGAAGCTTGACACCATTGGCTGACGCACGGATAGCTTAACGCATCCTCATTAGATCGGGCCACATCTGAGTGGAGCCTCACGAGACGTGTCTAGTGTATAGACCATCTTCAATATGCATTGCGAGCTTTGGGTACTACTACAATCGATATAGATCTGGAGAACAGAGTTCATGCTCCTCAAGACAGCCTACATTGTCATTCTCGTTGGAGTAGTGGCGTGGATTGACGAGAAAGGCGGTCTACTAGAGTCTAGAGGAACTCGAACGTGAAGAGAAGGTTTGAGTGATATGGTACCGAGCATGAATCGTAGGGGATTGGATAGTGTTTGTCATTCATTGGCTCACCGAGAGCCTATCGCAACGCGTGAACCGATACTTATGAGAATGAGAGCTGGTGAGGACTGTAGATAACGCGGCGAGTGCGCGCTGAAGCAAATCGGAGAGCGTTAGTTCAGATGTCAGTGTAGGTACCGGTCTCCCACGGCGAAAGATGCCGATTGGCGATTCGAGCCGTATATGCGACTTTGTGGCCTTCGTACCTTCTCTTCGAGTCCTTGTGACTTCAGACTTGCCTTCGACCAATGTCTGAGGTCAGTGGCACATCAACGTAGAGGGGTCGACGATGACGCACTGGTCTAAAGTGGCCGGCCTCGTGGGAGCCAGGTACTTGACATCATTCAGCTGTAATCGCGGCTATTAAATCCGATAATGAAGGGACAAGGCACGGATTCTGACGAACCTCGTTCGACTTCGCGCCACTCGCGTCTTCATGCGCACGACGTACAAGTCTTGCTCATCGTACTCCGGAAGTCGAGCCGGACACACGCTTTCGTCGGAACAAGACCACGGTTCAGCGCGCGAAGGAAGCTCTGCCTAACCTCGGGTCAAGACTGTAGATGATGCGGAAGCTCCGACCTGAGGAGCGTTTGAACTATGGGGCGCGCGAACGAAGCGTATCGTCGCAACGCTAAGGCAATCCTGTCGAAGAACATGCTGTTCAAGCTGAATCATATGTCAATGTGCAGGTGTATAAGCTGAGTAACCAGCACTTCCGAGCAGCCAAACTCGTTCAAGCAAGGTGAAGGGTTGACCAGTCGAGTAAGTAGTAAGGTACGCGGAGTCCAAAGCAAAGCGCCAAAGCGCAGCAAGGAGCTGTACTGTACTTGATGTGTTCACGATTGGAAGTTCGATCTCGGTGCAAGCAAAGCGCCGCACGAGAGCTCATCCCGTCGGCCATGCCGCTACCGGTCGAGCATGCGGTCAGGATCGCCACTATGCATAACGGCCGTGAGCGGAGTTGCACGCTCCAGTATGCTAGCCGCCTTGAACAAGAGTCATTGTACAAGAAGCTCAACCTTCTTCAAGTTCAAGAAGGAAATGTACCAGCTTTGGTTGGCCCACTCGGGTGGGCTGGCGGACGTTCCGGATCTCCGAGTCGGTGCGGGTCAGAACGACGTCGACGGTCATGGTATAGGTGTTACAATCTCAGCGCTCCAAGATCTCTGGAAAAAAGGGAGCAAATTTGCGTGGAAGAGCCAGGGGTGGACCAGGCAGACGTGCAGTATCATTTATGCGGGCTACTCGCAGACTCGGAATAAGTCGGGCTGTCGATCTGAGTCCCGTGGCAGCCTCAAGTGCAAGGCATCTACTCTGACAACTCGCCACCAAGGTGTTTACACGAGATATGACCTCGAAGGTCGGGTCTATCACGGCGCTCTTGGGCAGCCTCCTCGCCTCCTCGACGCTGGCGACCTGTAACAACATCCGCGGGGTCCGAGGGGCTGGCGGAATACGCGCGCAATAGACTCCATTGCCGGCCCATGCGATCCGGGCGCAACTACATAGCAGCAGAGAGCATGGCTCTGAGAGAGACGATCACTCCTACATGCATCACATCGCGAGCATTGTAGGCGCGGTTGGAGAGAGATGTGGTCAGCCGGTGGCGGTCCAGACGAAACGTACGCGCAACGCGCTTTGCGGCGGCGGCGCGGTGACATAACGCGTCGTCACGCGCGAAGAAGTCGACGAGTGGGGCCCATACAACTTGTCTCGAACGCTCATGCTCCTCTCATTCTGGCGGTGTCCTAATAGCCTTGTGGACATATACAGCCTCTGATACATCACGAGAACGCACTTGTGCCCACTCGCGGAAACGACAACAACGTGGCCCTTAGATCTTTCTCGCCATTAGTCAACTCGTTGGTGTGCCAGCGCGTCACCTCGAATGCCCTGTGTACACCATTGGACACGCGTTGTGCACGCGAGAATCGCGCCCCCTGATGGTCCACGAAGTCCACCCGCCGGCAAGTTCGTCGACTGATTTAGGTGCATCCCGGGCGCGAAACAGCGATCCCGGATGTTTCTCTTCCTTCCGCATCGCCCTCCACACGACCAATTTGCCTCGAGGCGCCCCAAGGCGCTGCCCACGGCGCTTAAGGGAATGAGATTTCAAGCTCCGCTAACAGCGCATATCCGAGGCGTCCGAGATGGGTCCGCGGCGATGGGGAAAATAGCCTGTACAGTTCAATGGAAGCCATGCCCTGATCCACGTCTTCGATGCGCCGAAGCATTCAGTTGACTGTGGATATGCGCGTGAGTCCGGACATGTTGTTGTCTGAAGGGGAGGACTCAGGGTATGTCATTGATGCTAGTCGTACCGGGCCTGATTGTCGATGAACGCATGCAACTCATGGTTCGTCAAAGACTGAGTTCGAAACATCCCCAGACGGTTCTCCATATGCCTCTTCAGAGATGATAGATCGCAAACAAGAGTCAGCCTTGGCCTCGTGCCTCGTCTGTGCAAGTTGTATGATTACCATACCGCTCAGTGGGGGTTCAACTACTGCGAACGCCGGGCAGTGGCGGATCCTGGTCCGATTGGAATCGATCAACTACCGGATACTATCTATCAGGTAAATTGTATAAGAGGCTCCCTTCTGCTGTGATCCAAACAACCCAGCATCTTCTCTTTCTCTCGAATGGCTTCACATATCACCGTGCGCAGGCTCACGCAACCCACTGGTGAGACGCGTTCTGTTCTTCTTAGGCATCGAATTCATCAATACTCCTCGACAGACGCAGAATGGACCCGCGTCGCCGAAATCATGAAGGCGTCGTTGTACTCTGGTGAGAGCATCTCATCGCATCGTTGTGACCACTTTGCCAGCGATTGCTGACAGACGTGCGAAGACAAAGTCGTTCAGTGCATCACGGGCAAATCGGAGGCCGCAGAACGACATCTCTTTTCAGTCTACATGACAGCCGCATTACGGGATGGCGAGATATGGGTGGCCGGTTTCAACGGCAGCATCGATGGTGCTGCTATATGGATACAACCCGGCAAAGAAGAGCCCACGTTGTGCGTCGATCCCTGCGGCCTTCATCTCTAACTGACCCTCGGGCTCATCAATCAACTTAGGGACCGGCCTGATTATTTCGCTCAGCTATCCGATCAAACACGGCGCTGGATCGTGCAGCACGTACGTCTTCCTGGGCGTCCCGCGAGCTGGTAGGATCCTCATGATGTGCAGTTCTCACTCGTATATCGCGAACTGTACGCATCAGCATATGCCGCCGGCCCAATCATCCGCACACAATCGTGGCATCTCGGTTTCATCGGTGTTCTACCTCAACTCCAACGACGTGGCCTCGGTCGCGCTCTCGTGAATGCTGTCATTGCCAACGTGAGTCTCCCCTTCATCCCCGCGGCTCACTCCTAATATAGGAACAGGCTGGCCATGCGGAATATCCAGTGACCGTCGACGCGTCCGTTTTGTCCTCAGTCAGTCCCCATTCATGTTCACCTTTCCGCGGCGTCATGCTGATGAGTTGACCGGGGCTGTAGGTCTATTTCCTTCAAAGTCTCGGATTTGTACATCGAGGTGTCAAGAACTTCACCTGTCCCAAAGGGAGCTTTCCTCTTTGGTGCCTCATGCGGCCACCAACGTCCACACGCGGATCACGATAATATCCGGCCCGGCGGTCTGACTGTCGTTAATCAAACCCCCTTTAGGTGCGGGGAGACTCGAAATCTATCTCCTTAGGGTGTTCACTTGCGCTTGATCGTTCATCTCATACTCCTTTGAAAGCGACAATCGTTATCACCGGTCGTGCCGGTTGTGTTGTGATGTATTGTGTACACGAGTTCTTCGGGTGCATTGGAGTCATTGCGCGTACTGCTTCCGCCTCCCTGTATCCTTCTACGAATAATGGAATTGTTGACCGTACCAACACCCTTCTAGGGACATACAAGCCTTGAAGCTTGAAGCGCCATCGCGTCACTCTGACGCGACACGCCGGAAACTTACATTTGCCGCTGGCGGTAAAGCAGAGGCGGCTGGCTCTTTCCTACCTGCTTAGTCCCTACTGTTTTATCGATGTGCTTCTTTCAAGTGCGCTGACGAATCTTCCACTCGGAAGCATGCCCACAGTGCGCCGCACTATATGCGCTGTATGCGAGAGCCAATCTGCCGGTCACGAGCTTGTTTGCATATAGATGCTTGTTTCGCACTATGTCGTACATTGCTCCTAGCTGTATGAATCGGCGGCTCGGAGCTCTAACGACTATGGGTACTATCCCCAGCGATAGGCCTACAAGTCGGACACCGATCGGTGTCAGCAACGACTAGGTTCTACCCCGAATACCTGCCAGAAACCACCGGCGCACGCCCACAAATCGCAAGTCCACTGTCATTTCCATTCGAGTTGTGTCGATAGCGTATCTGAACCCCGGTAAAGGTAAATCCATGACGGCGGGCGATCTGGCATACGTGTATGCCGAAATTACCAGTCTGTACGTAGGTTCTCGGGGCCCGAGGTGAACCAAAGCCGCAGCCGCATCCAAACGAGTAAAGGGATTGCCTATACCGCATAACAAGACAAACGTCAGCGATCTTGAGGAGACTGCCTTGTGTGTAGAATCCCTTAATCTCGTTGAGGCGTTCCGATGGTCCGAGCTAACAGCGCTCGGCCAAAACCATTCTAAGACAGTGCCAATCATCATGCCGACAATCGTGTACGTACCAAAACATGAGGCAACCTCTTCGCTGGCGCCTCGTACCCTCGGTGAAAGCCTGGCAAGTCCGCCTACAGCGGACCGTGCGGAAGCACATACTGAAGATCTCGCAACTGAGATGTCCTCGTACAAACATACGCAGAGCCGAGCACTGGACGGGAGTAGCTTAACTTGGACAATGTCCGCACGAGACCTGCACAATCAGCAAAGTTGCCGGCCGATGCAACAACTACGTGGCACTGGCCCTACCATCTTCACGAGATGATGCAGCTTGACGCTGCATGTGCCGAGGGGGCAGAATACGAGCCTCCACCACCAACAACACATGTACTTACGATCTGGAGCTTCCAAGAACAAAGTCACGCTGAAAGCGCCGCTGTGCGCGAGGTGCAGTCTACCTCGACCGAACATGAGGCAGAATCGGACGAACCGCAGTCGGCCCTATTCATGAAGCTGCTACGTCCACTCATAGATCTACGTCGATTCGTCTGGTAATATACATTCGCATGCAAGATCAGTCCACAGAAGCACGCAGGGAGGCCCAGCAGCGTGACCGCAAATTCATGGCCCAGCGGGAGCACTAAAGGTATGTTTACGAAGTCTGTTCGTTGTTTACGGACAACTTCTTGAGCGAAGCGTTCAAGTCGCCCTCCTTCTCGATGGAGATGTCGTCGACCTTCTTGAGGCTGTCTTCCTTTTGCTTCTCCTCTTCGCTCTCGTCTTGAGGGTGGTGATGCATGACCTGACCGCCCTCGTCGAGCTCCTCCTGTCGAACGGTCAGCACGCGCCCACAGGACAGCATGATCGTAAGAAATGACCTTCTCCGACTCCTCCTTGAACTGGTTGACTTGGCGCTCCAGATCGCTCACATGATGTGTGCTGGCAAGCAACGACATGCGCTTCATGGCTGTGATGCCCCAAACGGCTTTCCTGAAGCGTGTCTTGGCGTCGCGGCCCTTCTGAATGTGTGGCAACAGATCCATAGGACCACCGTGCGGGCTTGATGGGTCCGGTACAAAGTGAGGCTTCGTGTCTGCAAGCCAAGGGTGGTTCAGCGCCTCGGCGGCAGTTGGGCGCTGGTTGGGATCGATCGTGAGACATGTTCGGACGAAATCCTTCGCGGTATCCGACACGTTCGCCCAGTACTCAGCCGGCTCGAACTTGTAGTCGCCCGCGATGATAGCCTCCATCTCCTGCTGTTGGTTTTCCCGGTCGAAGGGCGTGTAACCTATCGCCTGTCAGATCGGGTCATTAGATGCGGATTCCCGCGGCATACCTGCTAGCAAGAAGTAGGTGATGACACCCATGGCCCAAACATCTACTGGCTTTCCATGACCCGCTGCCCGAAAGTCAGGACACGCGCAAGTACATTTAAGACAAAGGACTTACTCTTCTTGAAGATTTCGGGCGCCATGTACTGATCGAGACTACTTTAGTCGGGATCAAAGTAAGATTAGAGCACCAACGTACGCCGGGGGTACCGCAGATCTCGGTCAGCGCATGGAAACGGTCCTCCTCCATGACCCGACTCAACCCGAAGTCGGCAATCATGATATCCGCGTCTTCAGCAGGAGTGCGGAAGAGAAGGTTCTCCGGCTTCAGGTCTAAGACATGTCGCGTTAGCGCCTTCTATATTCCATGCGGAGCGAAGATCAGATGGCAGGTGAGTATCCGCCGCAGACACTCTGCGCTAGGATAGGTTATGGCGGCGTGCTGTGGGGCACAGAAGGGCGCCTCGAGGGCGGAAACTCACCTCTGTGAACTATACCGCTCGCGTGAATGTATTGTACAGCTTTCATGATCGTGCGCACGAGATCAGCGGCATCCCTATATGTTCAACATAAGATAACAGTAAATGATAGCGGATGAAGATAGCACGTACGGCTCCCCGTAGTTGCCCTTCGCGCATATGCGGTCGAAGAGTTCGCCACCAGTGCAAAGGTCGAAACAGAGATACAGGTTGTTGGCTGTCTGCACAAATAGTAAGTCTCAATGTGACTACTTCATGTAGTATGACTGTGGCACGTACTTCGAAATAATCATGAAGCGTCACAATGTTTCGATGCCCGCTGGAAACCTTCTTGAGCACGGCGATCTCGTTCCGTACCTGTGGCCCCTCAAGCGTTAACCCAACAACCATCACAGACAATGCCAGAGCACGCACCATGAACTCCCGCCCCTCCATGAGCTTCTTGTTGATGACCTTGCACGCATAGTACTTGCCGGTCTTGATGTGTACGGCCTCCTTTACAATGGCGTACGTGCCGCTGCCCAATGTCTTGCCAGTGCGATACTAGACATCTGATTCAGTATATGGCAGATCGCATGATGTGACAGATGACGCACTTGACACGGCACTGTCGGAGGGGTGGGCATGACGGAGTTCGAGACCTGGAAGATGGTGGTCGTGAGTTGAGTGTCGAGATAGAGGCTATAACGCGGATCGCAATAGCTACCGATTCGGCAACTCGCGTGCCCTGAACGCGCTCACGACCGTGCTTCACCGCCTTGTCGTCTTCCTTCACTGCCATCCCGGAGGTTTCTTCCCTATTTGGACCAGTTGTCGATGCCGAAGAACTGTGCGATGACTCGGCCGGCATATCGTGAGGGTGGTGCAGCTTAGCGGCAAGACGTTGAACGGACGCCGTCGCTCGGCTGACGCGGCCGTCGTCTGAGTTGATGGCGTGTCAGTACGACGGGTATGGAATATCGGCATCTGCACGAACCAGAATGCGGCGCTGAGCTGCCTTCGGCGCGGTGAGGATGGCTTTGGCTGTTGCCCATGGAAGGTGGAAGAGTGCTTGAGAAAGTATGTGTGGCGGCTTGATATAACGCTCGGCAACCGGTGACGCTGAAACGGGTCGATAGATAGGAGCGCCCGCTTTAGCACCCTCGAGTCGACCATGATATACACGTTGCGGTTGTCTGCTGTGCTCTCCGCTGACCTGAAGGGGCCTTACTGTACGATATCACAGGATGCTCAGGCGATATGCTATAGGAATTGAACGCTAGAGCACAGGGCGCTACACTGCCCCGCAACCTTCCAGGAGGCGCTAATTTCGCAGTGCTTATTTCGGAAGTTCGGATATGACGGTGTCCTTCGCGAGGGGGGTGACTCGGCGAATCGCTGCACAGAATTGAGTAACCGCCTTCGGGAATGCTTCGGCTTCGGGTCCCGACGTTGCCGCCTTTCGACAGCAAGGTGCGCTGCGTCAAGGGCTCATACATCCTACACTCCTGCTCATGGACAAGAGAGAAAGCTTCAATTGTTGAGCATAATTCATTACGAGGAGCGACCGATCATGTTATCGGATGTCAGTTGAGTCTTGCGCGGTAAGGTTGCCGCGCGTAAGCACGGTTGCTGTGGGCGGAGTGCTGTCCGCCTCGAGGCTCACAAACCGAGGACCCATTGCCCCGCGGCCCGTACACATCCTCTGTCGGGCTACGTGGGAGACTCATCACGTATAATTCTTTCGCACGAACAAAGACGGACGTTTCATGATGCGCGCGATCCTACATCTTTGATCAGATACATATACTCCCAGTGGTACGTGAAGTGAATCCAATCCTGAATGTGACCCTCGCTGAAAACTACCTAGATTGAAAGCGAAAGAAATGGGTCAGGGTACTACTGGTCTCTTCCCGTGCACCGCAAGCCGGTCAACTCTAAGGCTTTGCCTTGAGTCGGCACCTCGGGATGTGGGCTGTTCACGAGCGCGTTCTACGCGTGGAGGTGACCCACGTACCAACATTCTTCCAGTCCTATAACCCCTTATAGGACCAGCCGCATGCTATCGTAGACTTCTCATCCGGCCGTGCATGCGGTGCGGCATGATTCAATCGTTCAAACAAGCTCATCGACTTGCTTGAACTGTCATGGGAGCTCTGGACATTGTCTCGCGCATGCATCTCGAAGTGACGATGTACTGGTCGTATGTGTGCTCCTTCATACAGGAACGCCGTCCGGTCCGCTGCAACGACATATGCATGTGCTATACGACCTATCGCGGGAGCCATCCCACCTCTCGGGGCCATACCCGGTCCGAATGTGAGCACCCGCTTTCAATGGGCTCGGATGTGGCCCCTTGGTGTGACCGCTGCGATATGCGCAATCGCCGCTTTGACGGCACTGATCCTTGGATCCTTCGTAACGGCTTGGCGAAGTTGATCGCATCTGCCACGAGGCTCGCAGTACATCTCCATGGAGCTTTCCGGTCGTTGCCCATCTAGCGGCAAAGGTTCGTCACATTTTGGCCATACGCAAGCAAGGCTGGTGAAGGCTTGCATTCCGATAACCATGCACAAGGAAGTGGTCGGTTGGGAGAAGCCCTCGAACCGTCACTTCTGTGACAGATCCTGCTCTCATATTCGAATCTCCGATGGCGTCGCCGCTGTTCGAAGAAACAGCCAACCAGGGCCGTCAACATCTGGACCGCCGTAGTATCGCGTTGACTGCGAAGCATATCACACCTGCCGTGCGCGACCACCTGCTCATGAAGTACCTCCGGGCGACAGCGCGCATGTGCAGTACTACGTGTTGTCGGTGTCCATGCTTGTCGCGGTGATCCATCGGCTCTCGAGCGCACCCTGCAGGCTCGCAGGTGTGTGCTAGACCCGTATAAAAGCGGTATGATGCTGACGCTGAACGGCAGGAGCATCTAGTGGTCTTTCACCCTAACTTACTCAATGAAGTCTCTCCTTCGCGTAACCGCCCTCTCTGTGGCTCTTCAGCCAGTCCTCGGACAGTATTCTATCTGGGACGTTGTACGCTGTCTTGACATCTCTCTGTCGCAACGTTGCATTGACCATCTGCGCAAACAGTGGCAGACCCGTTGGGATCGAGGCAATCTATTCACGAACATCTCGCCCTCGAGTGCCATCAATTTCGGTACCAAGGGCGCAATTGGATCCGCCGACATCGTTGTCGATGATAGCACTGTATATCAGCAGATGGACGGCTTCGGTGGCTCTCTCAGTAAGCATTTCCTTCTGCGAAATAACCATATTGCTAATCACAGTGCGATCCCCTTGCTAGCCGACTCCGCTGCATCTACGCTGGTTGGCCTCAAGGTGCGTGGACCCGCCTTGACACACAGAGCAAAAACTCAAGCCCGTACTCCAGAACAAGAACTCCGGCAACTACAACACTCTGATGCATACATTGTTCGATCGTACGTTGGCCGGCTGTTTGTTCCTTGCTCGGTCTGATCTCCTGTCGTAGCAACCGATGGCGCACAAGCGGCAGGGTTGAATATCATCCGCGTTCCCATCGGAGCTTCGGACTACTCGACGATGGGTAAATGACAAGGACATTATTATTCTGGCCAGTAGCTGACTGCGTCTTGCTCTTTCAGACTACAGCCTAGATGATACCAGCGGCGACACGTCGCTCTCGCACTTTAGTATCAATGCCGTCCCTGCCAACATCTTCACCGTTCTCGCCGACATCAAGGCCATCAATCAGTACATGAAGGTTCTTATCACGCCGTGGTCTCCCGTGAGTGCGCATGCCGTCCTTGTATGGATCATACCTGACTGTTGTCTACGTAGCCCGGCTGGATGAAAGATAGCAGTTCGATGAATGTAGGTCTACCCGGAGTACACGTGTATCGCCAAGAAGGCCGATATCTCTATACAGGGTGGAAGCCTTTACGACTCGGACGTCCAAATCTACGCGAACTACTTGTTCAAGTCTGTTCAAGGCTTTGCCAGCAAGGGTTATACGCCTTGGGCTATATCTATCCAGGTGAGGCAACGAGCGGACGAGGCAAAGCATCAACTGACATCACTAGAATGAACCTGAAAACAGTAACGGCAACTACCCGACAGCTTCGATGTCAGCCAGTCAGATGGCTAATATCGCTACCGCGCTCCGCACCCTTCTTAACAATGGAGGCTACTCGGGCGTCAAGATCATCGGATACGATCACAACTGGGGTTAGTACGCGCGTTGTATGCTAGAGTTAGAATGATGAACCTGAGTATCGTCTGTTGCAGATGACCCCAGCTATCCCGAGTCATTGGTACGTATAATGATACCTGAAAGCTCATAGTTTACTCATGGTGCTCATAGATGAGCTCCGCCAGTTCTGCGTTCGATGGTGCCGCATTTCACTGTTACGGAGGCGACGTCTCTGGCCAAACGACCTTCCATAACGCATACCCGAGCAAGAACATTTACTTCACCGAGTGCTCTGGAACGTACGGTTCTGACTGGTGGTCCGACTTAAAGTGGAATGTTGACCATATCACGGCCGGAGCCGTCGAGAACTGGGCTCGCACGGCTCTCTTGTGGAACATCGCGCTCGACGGCAACGGCAACCCCCACCTTCCATCCCAACAACCGTGCGGTACGGCAGGCTGCCGCCCAATTGCAACCGTGAACAGTGATGGCAGCTACTCTCTGAATCAAGAATGTAAAGGGTCTATTGCCGTTGTTCTAGAGTGCATCATTGACGATACTGTCAGATTACAACCTCGCTCAGGCCGCTCGCGCTGTGAACCCCCGCGATAGTGGAGGCCCCTTCGGTCAACGCATCAAGGTTACATTGGGTGGCAACCTCTCCTGGGCTCTCAGAGTCACCGCATTTGTCACCCATCGTACATCAAGCAGCGACTGGTTGCGGTACTCCATTCAGGTCCTGAACTGGGTAAGTTCGAGCCTTCTAAGTATAGGTCCCGCTTTGTACTCACTAACATCGTGCAGGATGACTCATCGAGCACCACCTGGAACCCAGTGGACGTTACTGCGACTATCGAGTTCCGTGGTGTACAGGCAACGTATACGTTCCCAGTCGGTATTACGACTTTGTGGTGGTACGCGCCCGCTCAGTAAGTAGTTATGTATTCGGGTCAAGATGATAGTGCAACGACCTGCATCCAGAGTACCAGACGTACATATCTCTCTGTCTTCTTCTTTTGGGGTTGTTGTGGTGTACAATATAACTTTGGCAATGGCATCCTGATGTGTGGGTCGGTTGAAAGCGGTGGGTCACTGCGCGCCAACTGCGCGCTAGCGCTCCGGCCAAATCCGGCCCGGACACTCTCGCGCGCTTTCCAGTCACGGCCGTTGCGCCAACTTCACGCCTTACTAGTGACTCTCATGCACCCAGTGTGGCGAAGGCCGATAGGCCGAGAGAGGGGACGTTCAATACATTCTCAGCTTGATATAAACATCTACTCATGGCCTTCCAACGACTGGAAGCCCCCGGCGCCATGCTGCTTTCGGGGACTCATCTCTGGTGGCGGTTGTACTATAGAGAAAACTCAACACTACGGCGCGAGACTTGTCATACTCATTGCCACTCATCTACCCCTCAATTATTCCTAGTTACCTTGGTTTTACACGCGGTATTGGTGACAATACTGGTCGACCACTCAGTCGACGGCCCTCGGCATTCAGCCAACACCTACGTCGTGACAGTTGGCTCTCATGTTGAGGTGCGTTGACCATGTCGCTTCCTTCCTCCGATGGCCGGCCTGATGAGAGGACTCAACAGCGCAAGCCTCGACAGCGACTATTTCGCGCAGAAAGCTCGATATGGAACTCATGTGCCAGACATGGTTTACGAGTTTGATCTCCGCCGCACTCGTAGAAACACCACCAGAACTCAGCCTGTCGGCCGGCGGCATGAGAGGGCATGACTTTGTGCAATCATCTTCATCGCGGTCGACGACAGATGCGAGCTTGTGAGACGCATGGATTATTGTTGACTACCGCCGAACGGCATGTGCAGCGGCTGTGCATTTCATCCGAGCTGTCTACGTTGCCGTTGCTTCGGGGCCTC